GCGTGACTAGACGTAACCGAACTCCGATAGGAACAAACTTTTTTATAAATAAAATTAATTTCATTTTTAAAAAGAACAAAAAAATAACGAGTAATTCATTCTGGCTTTTACCTGCGAGACCCACGTGCGTTGGAAAGTAGACTGCTCACCACGTGGCGTGTGTCCATTCGTTTTCTGGATAACCGGCAAGTCACTCCAGCGTTATCCCGCAATTTGTAAAAACGACAGAAAATCAACTCGTTTGAATAGAATGGCTCGAGTCCACCAATCAGATCTCACGAGCCATTTTGTAACTGACCAGTGACTAAATCTGTAATCTGACCTCTTTTATTAATCCGATTGAATAAATTCGCTTGGAGTCCGTCACTTGGTGTTCTCAAACGCGTGTGTCTCACTCTCTTAAGATGAAGAAGTGCGTTAATGACGTGGCATGTTAGGATAAAGACCAAAGACCAGCTTTTTTCACTCATTTAAAAACCAAATAATAAAATTTAATTTTTACTGTACTTTAAGTAAATTTGTGTCCTGATTAAGATTTAAGTAAATTTATTTCATATTTTATAACTAGTAGAAGCTGAAATTTGTATTAGCTTATAATTTTAAACTAAAAACTACGTTCCTGTTTTTAAATTATTGTTTAACGAAGAAATAATAATAATATATAAAGAAAATAGTTAATTAAGGTAGGGAAAGTAGGGTTTGGTCTGTAGGTTAGGGTTCAAAGAGGGAAGAGATTAGGAGAAAGGAAGCATGAAGGCATGACCCATTTCTTCAATTAGTGCTCCTTAATCTGGTGACACGTGTAGGTCCCACGTGTAATCACTTCACATTTTTTTTATAAAAAAAATCAATTAAGTAAAAACAAAACTTTGTCCATCATTAAATAGTAGTAGTATAAGATCCTACCAAAAAAAAAAAATAGTAGTAGTATAAGAAGCTCTATGCCTTTTACTATATACTTTTTAAATATGTGTGCAAAGCTTTACCCGAAAACAATCAATCTATCATTGGTTGGTAATGACTAATGACACATTAACAGTGTTACAGAATGATTCCTTTAGTTTTTCTACAGTAAAATGTTTGGTGATCTTATTGTACAACATAGACAAATACTCAAATTATGTCTTGTAATTTAGATAATGGACGAATATAGTTTGAAATATTTATGGATTCCCAACAAGATTTCTTAACTAGAAAGACAAACCAAAAAAATAGAGCACATTTTGCTCGTTTTCCATCAACCCTATTTATCCAATTTGTTCACATCATGGACGGATCATCAAGAATACCGAAACAAATAAAAATAAATATAAATGGCTATATAGATCAACCCTATTTAGCTACTAGTATTAGAAATTGACAATAAATGGGACATTCACGTGTGTGAGCATGTACTACTCTACACACATGTCGACAGTTATTATATACGTTGATAATATCAATGATAAAAATACGAAATTATATATACTTATCTATTTAACCATATTTGCTATTGTACTATTTAGTCTATTTTCTTTGGCCAACCTTTGTATTAAATATTGTACTATTAGTTTCAATTATAGGTCTATCACGATGTAAATTTCTAAATAGTGGTTTAAAATTTTATATGTTATATAAAATACAGATTTTATTTTTGGAAAACGATAGTTGAAAACTTGAAATCTATACAAGATTAATAGCTCACTAGATTTTAATCTGCGGTGTACTGCGGGATAATTTATTTTTTTTGCAAATTATATCTCTTTATAATATTTTATAGTTTACAATTGTTATTAAGTATCGGTATACCACGAGTCTACGGAATAATTATTAATAAATTCAGAATTTAACACGTATTCAAGCGGCATGTTAATGATATTTTAAAATTTTATAAATATTAATTTAAACCCGTCCGCCATATACACCGTTATGAAATATAACTCGTTTCGTAATTTTTAACCCGTTTTGTGATTTGTTTTATGAAAATAGTGATTTTAAAATTTAATAATTATTTATTATATATAAAATTTAACAAATTATATCATTTTCTAAGACATTTATATTTTAATAAATTATGGATTTAATCTGTATTAAACATCATGTTAATGATATTTTAAAATTTTATAAATATTGATTCAAACTCGCCCACCTTATAACCCCGTTAAGAAATATAACTCATCCTATAATTTCTTAATCCGTCCCGTGATTTGTTTTATAAGAGTAGTAATTTTAAAAATTTCACAATTATTTATTATATATAAAAGTTTGCAAATTGTATCATTCTCTAAAATATTCATATTCTATATTTTACAATTGTTATTAAGTAACATTATACCACGGAATAATTTTTGGTTTTATACAATCTTTTATGAGGGAGACTGATTTGATATGTCTAATATAAGTGGTACTAAAAAAAAAATTATGGATTCAATCTATATTGAAGCGGCAGATTATATTATTATGTATTATCAAATGATTCAAAACAGTTAAAAACAAATAAAACAAAGATGATATGAGAATCATAATTCTAAATCTTAATAAAATCTTATAAATATATAAATTATTAAATATGGAATATCCGGTGTATGAATTGAGTTAAATATAGTCTGATCTTACAAATTTTTTATGACGATTGATATGTATGACGTCGTATGGATAATTCAATAATTGTGGTAATTCTTAAACACATACTCCCTCTGTATTCGAATAGTTGTATTAAAAAAAAGTTGACAATGACTATTTTAACCTCATCCTAACAAATAATTCACAATTTAGTTATCAATTAATTGAGGTTAATTTAGGAAGTCTTATACAAAAATTATATTAAAATGTCAAAACGACAACTAATTAACAAAAAAAAAGTGTAGAGCGACAAGTATTCGAATAGGGTGAGAGTATATTAAAATTATCAACAAGCCTCGAAAACATGCTTTACAAAAGCCTGTGTCTACTTTACTAGATAAGGACCTGTGCGTTGCACGGGTTGCCGGTCGAAATTATCATTCTTAACTTTTAATTTTATTTTTATAAGGATAGCTAAAATTATATAAACATATATATTTTAAATAATGCACCATTTTAATTATATTTTCAATATAGATTTATAATGCATATTGCACAATATAAAACACTATTTGTAGTTATGTTATACTAATTATTAAATCATCTAATATAAATATTAGCCTATTTATAAAATTATATAATTTTTTGCTTATTATAAGTTATAAAGTCATAAATATTTATACGTTATATTACTAAATTTTAATAATTTATTTACATCTATCGGAAAAGTGTATTACACTTTATAATTTCAATATGGGCAAGATTGAAAAAAACGGTAATAATAAAAAAAGTTGAATTTATATAGTTACGTACTTACGTGGCATAGTCAATTTTTGGCTCATATTACCCATTTCTTCGTTTTCTTTTTTATTCCTTCCGTTCGCCGGCGAGAAATTCTCAAATCTCTCTATTTTTCTCATTAGATTTTCTTTATTTTTGCTTGAACTCCTCTTTCTTCCTCTTTCTCGCCATCCTTTTCCCCTATCTCTATTTCTTTCCTTCTTCAGACATCACCACCAAGGCTCATTACTCTGACTCACCACCACAAATGAATCTCACTACTATCACAATCACCACAACCATCAATACTGAATCTCGCTAATTTCGATAAAATAAATGATTCGATTAACCTGAATTTTTGTTTTGACTCAACAGTCTTTTGTTTTGGTGTACCAGTTTTTTAACTTTAACCTCCACCTTTATTAACATTTATCGCCACCACCACCACCAAACTTGAACCACCGTCATCAACACCAACACCACTGTTATCGCTTCTTCTCCTCTTTCTCCAAATTCTCTTATTACTCCACTTTCATTATCTTATCCAACATCAGGGCAAGCCTTTCTGACAACAACTCTAGTTTATGCTCATCGCCGTTCATAATTCTTATTTGCCTCCATTGTCATATATTCTTTGGGTCTGAATATCACATACAATTTTTAGAAAATCATTGCTATTCACAATGTTTGTTTTTATAATTGACATAATATATTTACAACAAATGATAAATGCATGTAATTTTAACATGATCATATTTTTTTTTTAAATCACCCAATCACCACCTCCGGAACCATCAACCACCACCATCTGAAAACGTTAGTTTCCGGAACTTTTTTAACTCATGGCTATTTTCTTAATTATTTTTGAGTCAAATGTTAGTTACTTTATAATTTATAATTTACATTTATAATTTTCTTACAATTATATTTTTATTTTTTTATTAAAAAGGAAAATTTATTTGACACATGGTAAAATCTGTGATCGAAATATTTGAAACATGTCACGATTTCGTGAGTTACTAACTTTGAAAACCATACTTTTTTTAATTCATGGCTATTTTCTTAATTATTTTTGAGTCAAATGTTTTTTACTTTATAATTTATAATTTACATTTATAATTTTCTTATAATTATCTTTTTACTTTTTTATTAAAAAGAAAAATTTATTTGACACATGGCAAAATCTGAGATCGAAATATTTGACACGTGTCACGATCTCGTGAGTTACTAAGTTTGAAAACCATACTTTTTTAACTCATGGCTATTTTCTTAATTATTTTTGAGTCAAATGTTAGTTACTTTATAATTTATTATAATTTTCTTATAATTATCTTTTTACTTTTTTATTAAAAAGGAAAATTTATTTGACACATGGCAAAATCTGAGATCGAAATATTTGACACGTGTCACGATCTCGTGAGTTACTAACTTTGAAAACCATACTTTTTTAACTCATAACTATTTCCTTAATTATTTTGAGTCAAGTGTTAGTTACTTTATAATTTATAATTTACATTTATAATTTTCTTATAATTATCTTTTTACTTTTTTTATTAAAAAGGAAAATTTATTTGACACATGGCGAAATCTGAGATCGAAATATTTGACACGTATCATGATCTCGTGAGTTATTAACTTTGAAAACCATACTTCATGTGTTTGAATATTAAATTGCAAGGTAGTAGTATAAAAATTTCGTAGGCTTTCAAGACACCAAATTAAAGAGTACATATTAAATTTCGTACTTTTCTTTTTATATATCAATTGGTGATATACGAAGACCATATATTATTATATATTAGGGCTAGTTTATGGTAGATTATTAAAAAAAAAAAGGGTTTTTCTTTTTAACGGACAAAGATTCCTACAATGGTTGCTTTTAGACCACACACAAATGCTACACAGTACTCTTGGGTCCCACACCTCTTAGCAAGTGCGTTACCAACACGTGAATTTTCTCTCCCCATTTTCTCGTCTTTTTTCCTCTTTCTGTATCGTCTCGCTTCCTCGTCCATATCGCGTGTGACGTGTTATTGTCGAACAGTCTTCTTATTATTTCCCATCTTTATCCTGAATTATTTTAGATATTTGTTACAACGTTATGACTTATGATTATTCATGGATTTGTAATTTTGCAACAGATTTTGTGTTTCACAGAAGATAGTTTACGTGTTGTTAAAAGTAATTTATGCAGAAAAATAGTGTGATTTTTAAATATAAGACGACATAATGGCTAATGCTAATTAAAAGAAAATAAAAAGTTTCCTCGCGATTTAAGAATTCAACAAGTCAAAACGATTTGGTATTTTCTTACCGCATTTGAATTTATTGTAGCTAATTATATGTACTAAAAGTCTACAACATAAGTATCGTTAGCATGTTGTTTTGTTTTTAATTAAATTCACAACTCCAATTAGACACATTGGATCTACAGAATAAACACCAACGTTTTAGTTCATTCGTAATTTGGACTAAATTTTTTTAGAAACACTAATTATTCTTGTTTGCCAGCCGTATGAGTGGGCTACAATACATCAGATTTTTTTTCCTTTTAACCCCTCTAGGCAAGGTGAGAGAAACCTAATCCTAACCTAAAATTCAGGAAACCGTTCACGAAGAAATCTCCAGAATAATAAAGGGAGGTAATCCGATAAACCTCCTAATGATTCTATTATGTGATTAACCTAGATGTTTAAAGATCTTAGGGTTCATGTAAAATCAACTTACATGTCTTCTGTTCCTAAAAGATTGATTTTCTAAAGATTTCACATATTTTAAAAAACAATCATTGTTTAATTATTTATATTTATTAAACACTTTTTAATAAATTTTGAACTAATAGTAATCTGCAACTGATAACCATTACGTTTTGAAATCTACGATTAATTAATATCAATTTATTAAAAATAAAGAAAAAATGTTGAAAATCAATTTTAGTGGAACAAACCCAAACCACTAAAACATCAAACTTCTAGGAATGAAAAGAGTATATATTTAGTTAAAAAAAACATATGTATTTATGATGGACCATACACAAATTTTACCTTTGAACATATTAATCCCATTTGCCAGCTGTATTAAGTGGTAATCCAAGATTTATTTAATATTGTACTTAAAATAATTATGGAATACTTTATTATTTTTCCTATTCCTAAAAATTTGATGTTTTGAGTTTTTTTTCGTGTTTTATAAAGATTGATATTTTGTAATAATATTAATAATATAATAATAAATTGTTCTTAATTAGTTTGTAAAACTTAAAACATTAAGATCATATGAAGTATTAGGGTTTCGTATTTTTAGGATTTTAATATGGTTGAGGTACGTATAATATTCGACAATCTTTTATACATGGTATTATTCTATTATCTGAGGTGTAATTTAATTAAGAGAAAATAAAAAAACAATAATGAAACGTCTTTGTATTTCCATAAAAAGAAAAACAGGGTAAATTAAAAGTACGAGAGATTCACGAGACGAAAATCCAAAAGCGCACGATAGCCAAAAGACCGTGGAAAAATGACATCCGAAATATCTTTAAAATGCTAAAATACGCTTATTTTCTTGGTGCCACGTAGCTTTTTTTTGCTTTCTCTCGTTCTCTCTACGTCCCACCAAGACCTGCCTGTTCACAGCACGACAAAGCCACTTCCCAATAAAAACACAACACCTTTCCCATTGACGCTCTCTTTCCCAAACACCGTTATCGTCATTACCCAATCAAAAGTCGACGCTTGTTCACGACGTGTTCACGCCGTTAGTCCCATCTAAAAAAGTAAAGCAGCCTTTATTTTATTTTTTTTGGTAGGAGTAAAGCAGCCTTTATTACTTGCTAATCTATACTCCTCTACACATTTAATTTATTTATTTTCTCCCCTAATGGAATTATTTTGGCAACTAAATTTAAGTTATTTAATTAAATATTCAACTCACAGTCAGAGTTAGTAAATAATACTAGACCATAGTTTTTTTTGTTTCAAGATTACTTTTTGTATTGGTCAACAATTTTAGGATGAGTTAAATTGCTATATTTCTGGGGAAATACGACTTGGAAATGTCTGCAATTTGGGTCAATGTATCTTTTCAATTTTTTAAGAAATGAAATTTTAGAAAAGGATATGACAATATTTTTTTTGTAATAGGAAAAGGCATTATTAAAAAATAATAAGAGTTGAGGAAAGAAAATAAAATCGTCACTTGTCTTTCGCTTTGTGAGGTCGCAGACCCTGGTCCCCCGGAAATGGTTACAACCGGGAATAGCCGGTATGAAATAGGGAATGGTAACCGGTGAATGCCGGTTATCCATAAGGGTTAGAAGTTCACCGCGGTTGAAATGATTGAGGCTGAAATTTGACTACTCTGGTTAAGCCTTTGGTCGCCTCAGACCCAGAAACACAAAGATAGGAAAGACGAAGAAATAAAAAGAGAGAGAAAGTTAGAGAGAGAAACTCAGAGAGACAAAAGACAGAAGAAGAAAATTGGATGTTCAAGCGTCTGTGACTCCGAGGACGGCGAAGGAGAGAGAGAGAGAGCTTGGAGTTGTTGTATCTCTAAATCGAAGGCAATTTGAGGTGAAATTGGTGGTTTATCGTTTTGATTCTAGGGTTTATCTTTCTCTGATAGTTGTCTCGAGTAATGTAAAGGAGCTAAACCAGTGGTGATTGTGTTTTTCAGTGAGATAGAGACAAAGAAAGGAATCAAGTGGAGTACCGAAGCGAGCTTTGAGCTTTTTCAGAGGCGGATTTGGAGATTTCTTGTTGATATCGTCTGCTTAGAGGCTTATTTGGTACCAGATGAAACAGATCTGAGCCTGAGAAGGTATGGCGAGTTCGGAGGTTTCAATGAAAGGTAATCGTGGAGGAGATAACTTCTCCTCCTCCGCTTTTAGTGACCCTAAAGAGACTAGAAACGGCGAGGGGCAAAAAAGTAATTCTAGCCGACCCGCTGCGGCTGAGCGTGCTGGTAAGTCTCCGTTTCTTAGGTTTTCTTAAGCTTGGTTATGCGTACAGACTGAGTTGATCTAATTCTTCTTCTTCTTCTTCTTCTTCATAGTCGACCCTGAGGCTGCTCTTTACAGAGAGCTATGGCACGCTTGTGCCGGTCCGCTTGTGACGGTTCCTAGACAAGATGACCGTGTCTTCTATTTTCCTCAAGGACACATCGAGCAGGTGAGATTTTCCATCTTAATATTATTGGCTAAATCTTTGTCTTTATACTCCTCTTTGATTCCTGTCTCCTGAGATATTTTCTGATGAAATTTGTCGGTTTCCATTGTTGATGATTAGGTGGAGGCGTCGACGAACCAGGCGGCAGAACAACAGATGCCTCTCTATGATCTTCCATCAAAGCTTCTTTGTCGAGTTATTAATGTAGATTTAAAGGTAGGTTTCTCTCTTTTTTTTTTGGACAAGTTTGGTTTATGACTCTTGAATTGTCTCTCTGCTAACAAGAGATTTGTCGATTGTTTTTACAGGCAGAGGCAGATACAGATGAAGTTTATGCTCAGATTACACTTCTTCCCGAGGCTAACGTAAGTTGTGTTTTCTGATTTATTGGTTTGGGTGCTGTAGGATGATCTTATTAATCCAGACGCTGAATTCTCTGTCTTTTTTGGTTCAATACAGCAAGACGAGAATGCAATTGAGAAAGAAGCGCCTCCTCCTCCACCTCCGAGGTTCCAGGTGCATTCGTTCTGCAAAACCTTGACTGCATCCGACACAAGTACACATGGTGGATTTTCTGTTCTTAGGCGACATGCTGATGAATGCCTTCCACCTCTGGTTGGTGTTTCATTTGCTTCTATTATCTCTATTCATTGCCCTATTATTCCTTAATGTTTGTTCTAAGATTGCCTTCAATTCATTTTTTGGTTCTTCCCTCAGGATATGTCTCGACAACCTCCCACACAAGAGTTAGTTGCAAAGGATTTGCATGCAAATGAGTGGCGATTCAGACATATTTTCCGAGGTATAGGAATCTGTATGAGTCGTATTGTTGACACCTATTTTGTATTTTCTTTTTCTTTAGTCTTTGCGTCATCAAACTTATGTGGTTGTTGATGTCTGTGTTAATGACCAGGTCAACCACGGAGGCATTTGCTTCAGAGTGGGTGGAGTGTGTTTGTTAGCTCCAAAAGGCTAGTTGCAGGCGATGCGTTTATATTTCTAAGGTTCGTGGATTTCTTAGTTCATTGTTCTGTTGAGCTGTATCTGCTAGATTCTATAATGTGAAATATCTAATTCTTCTACAGGGGCGAGAATGGAGAATTAAGAGTGGGTGTAAGGCGAGCGATGCGACAACAAGGAAATGTGCCGTCTTCTGTTATATCTAGCCATAGCATGCATCTTGGAGTACTGGCTACCGCATGGCATGCCATTTCAACGGGGACTATGTTTACAGTATACTACAAACCAAGGTTTGTATTGGTATTAGCTCACAAAACAGCATTCAGTTTTGAGCTCTTTGCTGTTTATATCTCTATTTCTCTGATGCTTGGCAGTGAATTACTCTACTAAATGGTCTCTGATGCTCGCTGTTGTTTTGTTTGATACAGGACCAGCCCATCTGAGTTTATTGTTCCGTTTGATCAGTATATGGAGTCTGTGAAGAATAACTACTCCATTGGCATGAGATTTAAAATGAGATTTGAAGGCGAAGAGGCTCCTGAGCAGAGGTGAAAACTGTCTCTTGCTTTTTTAAACATTTTAGTCCTCTTGCCTTTTTTTTTGCGTAATGGTGAATCTAACAAGTTGTATTGATATATATTAGGTTTACTGGCACAATTGTTGGGATTGAAGACTCTGACATCACTAGGTGGCCAAAATCAAAGTGGAGATCCCTCAAGGTATAACCTAGTTCCTAGAGAGGATCAAGATTATTAGACTGAATGAATGCCTGATTATTCATTTGTATTTCAGGTGAGATGGGATGAGACTTCTAGTATTCCTCGACCTGATAGAGTATCTCCGTGGAAAATAGAGCCAGCTCTTGCTCCTCCTGCGTTGAGTCCTGTTCCAATGCCTAGGCCTAAGAGGCCCAGATCTAATATAGCACCTTCATCTCCTGACTCTTCAATGCTTACTAGAGAAGGTAATGTATCCCCCTTCAACTGCAGTACATATAGTAGTGCGTCTGAAAATTAAATTGCACTTGTCAGTGGGAGACTAATTCTTTGTACATGAAACAGGCACAACTAAAGCAAACATGGACCCTTTACCAGCAAGCGGACTTTCAAGGGTCTTGCAAGGTCAAGAATACTCGACCTTGAGGACGAAACATACTGAGAGTGTAGAGTGTGATGCTCCTGAGAATTCTGTTGTTTGGCAATCCTCAGCGGATGATGATAAGGTTGACGTGGTTTCGTGTTCTAGAAGATATGGATCTGAGAACTGGATGCCCTCAGCCAGGCATGAACCTACTTACACGGATTTGCTATCCGGCTTTGGGGCAAACATAGAACCATCCCATGGTCAGCGGATACCTTTTTATGACCATTCATCATCACCTTCTATGCCTGCAAAGAATATATTGAGTGATCCGGAGGGCAAGTTCGATTTTCTTGCTAACCAGTGGCAGATGATGCAATCTGGTCTCTCCCTGAAGTTACATGAATCTCCTAAGGTACCTGCAGCAACTGATGCCTCTTTCCAAGGGCGAGGCAATGTTAAATACAGTGAATATCCAGTGCTTAATGGTCTATCGACTGAAAATGCTGGCGGTAACTGGCCAATACGTCCACGTGCTTTGAATTATTATGAGGAAGTGGTTCATGCTCAAGCACAAGCTCAGGCGCAAGCTCAGGCTAGGGAGCAAGCAACAAAACAACCCGTCACAATACAAGAGGAGACAGCAAAGTCAAGAGAAGGGAACTGTAGACTTTTTGGCATTCCTCTTTCCAACAACATGAATGGGACAGACTCAGCCATGTCTCAGAGAAGCAACTTGAATGATGCTGCGGGGCTTACACAGTTAGCATCACCAAAGGTTCAAGACCTTCCCGATCAGTCAAAAGGGTCAAAATCGACAAACGATCATCGTGAACAGGGAAGACCGTTCCAGACTAATAATCCTCATCCGAAGGATGCTCATACGAAAAGCAACTCAAGTAGGAGTTGCACAAAAGTAAGTGTTTGCTATTATTTAGTACACAGAGTATTAGGTTGTGAGAACCCTTGAATCACTTTTCGACTAACACACGATACATTGGTTTAAAGGTTCACAAGCAGGGAATTGCACTTGGCCGTTCAGTGGATCTTTCAAAGTTCCAAAACTATGAGGAGTTAATCGCGGAGCTGGACAGGCTGTTTGAGTTTAACGGAGAGTTGATGGCTCCTAAGAAAGATTGGTTGATAGTTTACACAGATGATGAGAATGATATGATGCTTGTTGGAGACGATCCTTGGCAGTAAGATTTTGCAGTTTTTCCACCTTCACTTCCTCAATTTATATCCATGTTAGTGTTTTTTTTTTATTAACACGGACACAATGATGTTTTCACAGGGAGTTTTGTTGCATGGTTCGCAAAATCTTCATATACACGAAAGAGGAAGTGAGGAAGATGAACCCGGGGACTCTAAGCTGTAGGAGTGAGGAAGGAGTTGTTGGGGAAGGATCAGATGCAAAGGACGCCAAGTCTGCATCAAATCCTTCATTGTCCAGTGCCGGGAACTCTTAAACAAACAAAACCAGCAACCCTTTTGCTACAAGCCGAGGTATGTCAAATTGAAGACGAATACCAAGTTTATATCATTACATTCACCTGATGTTTGGTCTTTTTGTGACAGCAGGAGGAGGGTCGATTGGTGGAGGAGACTGGAGAGCAAAATGGGATGATGGTTTTATAAGATATGCTATTAAAAAATGCAATTTTTGAAGTATTTTGTTGGCCACTTAGATTATTAGCATCTTCCACCATCCCTTATTATCTAATAATAATTATTATATATATATTATAAAGTAAACATAAAAAGGTTACAGGTATTAAATAGTAGAATATGAAAGGCTCTTTTATAAGTAGAATATGATGGTGTGGAGTTGTAGATGGAGGCTGGTATCGGTTCTTGTTATATGTATTTTTTTTTTTTCCTTTCTTTCAAAGATCTCTCTTGAAGTCTTTTTATTGTTTATATATTAATCCCAATGTACATAAATTTTTAAGCTTCTGCCCGTTTCATTGTGTTTTCGATTTACATTTTCTCAACTTATTTTCTCTTTCTGACTTTTGGTTTGGTTTTAACGTTTTTATACTTGAATGTCTTCTTGTTAGCACTTTGTAGCTTTTCGTATTCATATAGAATATGCACGAAGCTGTGAGATCTCTTAACAATCTGATACCATTTCGTCAAATACTTCCATTTTAAAAGTTTGGATGTTTCTTGTTACAATCTGGAAATCAACTATTCAATGAGCAAAACAATGAGACCTCTTTTAATAATAATCTGAAAAAAAAACAGAATGGAAGCTAACTTGGTTGTTATAATAAAGAGAAATACAAATATCCGAGTGAGTTCGTAAACAAGGTTTGGGTTCCAAGTTTATGTAAACGAACTCATATTTGCAGATGTCTATGTAAACGAATCCACACGTTCTATCATTTCTTTCTATCACATGACATCACATGGACTCCTCAAACCAAACTTGTATTTAGTTAAAACTCTATCTAAATCTAGACATAAAACAATATAAAACACGCAATATTGGCAACTCGGGCACACTCGACAATCTCAATCTTCACATAAACACCGCAAACATTATATCAAACTTGAGTTAAAAAAAAAAAAACTTTCAATTGTATAACCTTTGCCATTATTTTACAATGATACAAAACTGCAGAGTTGCCAATAAGTGTTCTCTTGCTGTATGTAATAATTCTATACCATCGACACATATAGTGATGAGTCTGATACGGATGACACATCGAAGCAGACAATCTTACAAATTTTTTTATTTTTTTGATCAAATCTTACAAAATTATTAATTTTCCAAAATTCCAAATAAACAATAGGATAAAGTAACAAATGTGGGACCTGACCACTTGGGGCACACTATATGAGGGAATAAACACGCAACTCACATAGGAAGTTTCTTGAAGCCTAAAACATTACGCTGCTTCTCGATCTTTTAACCCCCATTATTACATATTACTCCATTATTCTTCTTCTTTCGTGACTTTCAGGGGGCACTTTGTTTTTTCCTTACGATTAAAATTCTATGACTTCGCCGCCGGTGGACGCAATGATTACCGGAGAATCATCATCTCAGAGATCTATCCCAACGCCGTTTCTCACAAAAACGTATAACCTGGTTGAAGATAGTTCCATCGACGATGTTATCTCATGGAACGAAGATGGTTCTTCTTTCATCGTATGGAATCCAACAGATTTCGCTAAAGATTTGCTTCCTAAACACTTCAAACACAACAATTTCTCTAGCTTCGTTCGTCAGCTCAACACTTACGTACGTATATAATCATTGCTTGTTCGATTCCTTCAATTTCATTGTTCTTGATTTAATCGTCTTTTTATGCACAGGGATTCAAAAAGGTTGTACCGGATCGATGGGAGTTTTCGAATGATTTCTTTAAGAGAGGAGAGAAACGTCTTCTCCGTGAGATCCAACGTCGGAAAATAACAACGACGCATCAAACAGTTGTTGCTCCGTCGTCAGAACAGAGAGCCCAGACGATGGTTGTATCACCGTCAAATTCAGGGGAGGATACTAATAACAATAATAATATGAATAATCAGGTGATGTCTTCTCCGTCGTCGTGGTATTGTCAAACGTCGGGGAATGGTGGTTTATCAGTTGAGTTATTGGAAGAGAACGAGAAGCTTCGGAGTCAAAACATTCAGCTTAATCGTGAGCTTACTCAGATGAAATCTATCTGCGATAATATCTTTAGTCTCATGTCGAATTACGTCGGATCTCAGACCACTGATCGGAGTTATTCTCCGGGAGGCAGTAGCAGTCAACCGGTGGAGTTTTTACCGGCGAAGCGATTTTCGGAGACGGAGGTTGAGGAAGAAGCGAGTCCAAGGCTGTTTGGTGTTCCGATAGGTCTAAAACGGACAAGAAGTGAAGGAGTTCAGGTGAAGAGGGTTTCTACGGCGGCGGTGGTGGGAGAAAATTCCGATGAGTGGTTGACGAGACATTGTAATCGAACCAATCAGAGAGTTTGTAATTAAACGAACGGCTTAGATTCGGTGTGTAGATATGTGCGCGAAGTAGAGGATTACAGCTTTTTTAGACAAGCAGAGCACGTGTCCCATCTGTTTCAAGAAGTTTCTTCAATCTTGACTTCTTCTTTTAACACTTTGTGTTTTTATTTAATTAATAATACTCTAATAAAGCTCTTTTTTCAGTTTTGTCTTCTTCAAAAATAGTTAGGTTGTTTCTAGACTTTCCTTTTTTGACCTTTTTTATTTATTCTTCTCATCTTTTTATGTGTTTTGCAAATATAATAAACGAGAAAAGATGTGTTAAAAAAAAAAAACGAGAAAAGACGTAGAGATTAATTTATTATAATGATAGAAAAAATATATATAGAAATTGAAATTGTAATGAAATGAAGCCTCTGGAATCTCCAGTTTGGTGGGCGCGATTCAGGGTTCGTGTTGTGGACCCGGTTTCGTCGATTATCACAACCAGATTTTCTACATCTTTAGATTTTCTACATCTTTAGATTTTCTACGACATATCACATATGTAGAAAGATTGGTTTTGATTACTTATATTTCAATTGGTGGTGGTATAATATAAACATTAGCTAAATGTATCAAATGTATTGTCTGATTTGAGTGTGTTGGGATTTAGATAGAGAAGGTTACGTGAAAATTTGCTCACTCATATCATTCGTTGAGGTTTCGCAATCACTCGCGATGGGAAACCAAAAATCAAACGCATAACTTGCAAGAAAAATGAGACATCAACATCTAATTGGATTTTCGTCATTTAGATGACACTTTATTTACCAAAAACTAATCTTCTCAAAAAGATTATCTTGAAAAGTTAAGAACACTAACCGATTGTGAGTTCTTCTTGAAGGGTCCTAAGAAAACTCTCAAAGCAAGACTGTTTTTCCGAAAAATTCATCGCGTTTAACAACTCATACGTCTCACATCCATTGTTTTGATGTTTCAGTTTCCTTTTTCTTTTGGTTATAAGAAAGTTCTGGATTTTATGACTTTCTCTATCAAATCTCTTTTAGTCTAAGCCAACTTCTGATGAGACATATGTAGGTGTAGTAATCATCCCTCCCAACAAAGCTCAAACTTCAAAGTAAGGACTTCCACCTTCCTCTGGATACAAACTAAACAATGCAAGGACTTCCACCTTCAGAGTAAGGACTTGGCACTACCAAAAAACTGTAATTGTTTAGTTTGATTTCTATATGAAATATCTAAAATATCAAACTAAACACTTGAGTTTGTCCATCTATAAGGTGGAAGTCCTTACATTGTTTACAATATAATCTAAACTGTTTTCTATATAAAATATCTTAAAGTTTGTCCATCTTGACTCTTGATCCTAATTCTTCATTGTTGAGTTATTTGACGATGACATGTGTGATGTATATGTCTATGCATTACATACATACAAACATTTACATTTGTGAGCAATGGCGGACCCAAAGAGGCTTGAAGGGGGTCAGTTGACCCACCTAAAATTCTAAATTTACATTATAGTCCTTTCATATTTATGATATTATTTATATGTTTTCTGTTTTGACCCCCTTAAAATTACAAATTTGTGTTTAAATCTTTTAAGTTTTCTAATATTTTTCTACTACTTTGTGTTTGGCACTATTTCTCACATATTTTTTAGTTTTTTTGTTTGCTTCACCCATAAATATTGAACCTATTTGTGATTTATTTTTTTAAAAAAATGTTGTTTGTTTTTAGTTTTTCTTAAAAAAAAATTTTATTAATTATTGTCATACATTTTGACCCCGGTAAAAAAACTTTCTGGGTCCGCCACTGTTTGTGAGTTGTCTTCTTTCCCAAAATAATATGTTGTCTCTGATTTGCAACCTTAACCACACTAAACAAGGAGACAATTAAGAACTCTCGGTATCAATTGTTCTTTTACATTGTAGTTAACCGGTCATCCGGTTAGATTATAAAATAAAATGGATTGGGGTTTGTAACACCGGTTAGACCCTAAACCCTTTCGTGACTTTATTATCGTCGTCTCTCTCTCTCTGCGCCGCGTTCTCTTCTCTATCGATTAAGCAAAATCGACCCTCTTCGATTTTTATTTTCATCTCTGAGCAATAATATCGTACTTTCGTCTTTCTTCCAAGGTTTGTGTTCGATCTAAGAGTATATTCAAAAGACCTAATTTTTGTCCTTCTTCGATTGTAGAAACTTCACATAGATTAATAAAGGAATCGACTTTCTTCTGTTTACCTAATCTGTGAAACCTTAAAAGAAAACCTAATTTTGGGGATTTTTTTTTTGCATCTTTCTCTTATGTTTCAGGCCAAAGTATGGAACTTTCTGATCTAAACAATGGGAAGACCAACAAACCAAAGCAACCTCCAAAACGTTTCATCAAGAACCAAATCCCTGAATCAATCCTTGGTGATGCATCCCTCAACGCTGCTATCTCAATCCTTCCTTCAATTTACCAGTTTGAGGTCCATAAATGTGTTTGGCGTATCAAATCATCAAACGCTAAACGCATAGCTCTGCAGCTTCCAGAGGGTCTTCTTATGTATGCTCTCACACTCTCTGACATCTTCACATCTTTTGCTGGAGCTTCTCATTGTTTTGTCCTCGGTGATGTTACTTATGGAGCTTGTTGTGTTGATGATTTCTCTGCCTGTGCTCTTGGTGCTGACTTGCTTATTCACTATGGACATAGTTGTCTTGTCCCTATTGACTCTACAAAAATCCCTTGCCTTTATGTCTTTGTTGAGATCCAGATTGATGTCAAATGTCTGTTGAACACTATCCACATGAATCTCGCGAGTGATGCCAAGAACATCATTCTCGCAGGTACGATTCAGTTTACTTCGGCGATTAGAGCTGTGAAACCAGAGTTAGAGAAGCAAGGGTTTAATGTTATGATCCCTCAGTCAAAGCCTCTTTCGGCTGGTGAAGTCCTTGGCTGTACAGCTCCCAAGATTAAGACGGTTGAGGATGGTAAAGACCAAGTACTGGTGTTTGTAGCTGACGGGAGATTTCATCTAGAAGCATTCATGATTGCCAATCCGAAAATCAAGGCGTTTAGGTATGATCCATATCTTGGCAAGCTGTTTTTAGAGGAGTATGATCACAAGGGAATGAGGGAGACGAGAAGGAGAGCGATTGCAAGGGCCAGGGATGCTAAAACTTGGGGGATCGTGTTGGGGACATTGGGAAGGCAAGGAAATCCTATGATTCTCGAGAGATTAGAGAAGAAAATGGTGGAGAAAGGGATAGATAGCACGGTTGTTTTAATGTCGGAACTTAGCCCCACTAGAGTGGCATTGTTTGAAGACTCGGTGGATGCTTGGGTCCAAATAGCATGCCCAAGACTTTCTATTGATTGGGGTGAAGCGTTTCTTAAGCCGCTTCTGACAACTTTTGAGGCTGAGATTGCTCTAGGATTCATCCGGGGTTGGTGGGAGAATGGTTCTTCGAGTAGAGTAGAATCTTCGTCTGGCTGTTGCAAAGAGGACAAAGAAAGAAGCTGTGCGTGTAAAAATGAAAAGGTGGAAGATGATAAGAAAGACAATGATGGGGCACTCGATGGAGACTATCCAATGGATTATTATGCACAAGAAGGCGGAGAATGGAACTCTTCATATCTCAAGAAGTCATCTCGTCCCATTCGAAGAAACTCTTTACCTTCTTCTGTAGTTTAGAATGCTGACAGAGGAAATCCACAGCATATATATTACCAAGTCAAAAAGGCAAATGGGTTTTGATGATGTTCCTGGTATTTTCGGATATGTGTTGATTTGCTTGTATCGTAATCTTGATGCTGAAGAATGTTAGTTACTTGGGGAGGTCTTGAAGTGAAACCGTGGACTGTTCATGAGAATTGGACAGAACATGAAGGCTTGAAGAGTGAAGACTCATGCTCAGTTTTGATACAAGCGGGGAGGATTAAAACGGCTGTTTGCAGAGAAGCTACAACACTTGTTTACTTTTGTCTTCTCTATTTATGGGAGGTTACAACGGAATGGTGAGTGAAGTGAAAAACAGAGCCCTGTTTATGTGATGATGTTTGCTGCATATTGGACCCGGTTTTGAAGTTTTGTTGGATCGGGTCTCATTATCATAGTACAAATCGATTAAACATTTTAAACTCATTAATTCAATCATAGTAGTACAAAGCAAAAGTGAACTGTTTTTTACCAATGGAAAAAGTCACAAAAGCAAGTGTATATAATAATATAATATAGTATCAAAAAGCCGATTTATAAAAAGCTAGTTATACATTATTATAGTCAACTCTTTCAGGCGTTCATCGTACTGGAATCTTCATAATAAATCATAAAATCTAGAAATTTTCTTTCTTTCCTGCGGGCTGCGAGTGTTGAAGTGGGGAAGTCCGGATCAATCCATCGAAAGAGACGCCATATGAGAGAAAATAGTCAGCCTATATATATGACTCGCAAGAAAATGCCAATCTACTTATATTAGCATAGTATAACTACAAAAAATAATTAACCATCAATAATTTGAAACTTCATAATATCCACAAACCTATAGATTATTTAACTGATACACACCTAATTATGTTTGTATCTCACTCGGGACATTTTTTCTCTCAATTTTTTGTTTTCTTCTTATCACAACTCCTTGCACCGGTGCTCGGGTTCTCCGTCGATTCCGACGACGATGAGGACCCAAAGGCTCATGGTTCTTCATCCGTAACCTGCTGCATCTCTATGGCGAAGCAATCTGACCAGAATCAAGGGAGCAGTGGAGGGGAGAAGCTTCTGCCCGACACCAATGGTAAGAGCTCTACCGGAGGTGTAGCGTTGTGGAGTGGAAGACGGAGATCTACCGTGAGGTTCGAGAGAGGCTTGCAGTTAGAACTGGGGACCGGAGATTCTGGAGGTTTCACGGAATCTTTGTCGATGGGGGAGGTAGACTCCGATCCGGCGAAGCTAAGCCAACGTTGATGGTCTCCTTTTCTACTCCCTACTGTTACTCTCTCTCACGACCGAGCAAAGATCTTCTCGACAAAGACATGATCGGATCTCTTCCTCCTTCTCAATACGGCTATACGGTGGCGAGATGGCAACGAATCCTGGATCACCATCTCATTCGTCTAGCGTCGTCCAGGCTCACCGGAGGTCCCGTTCTGACGAGAATCTGCAGATTTGGATGGCGGCTGCGATCAAGTTCTTTGATCGTAGATTAGAGTTTCAACCCGTACCCGGTTTAGTTCGGTTTGTGAACCCGAGTCGGTTTTTGGTTTTGGGTTGCTTTATTATTGGTTTGATGTTTATGAGTTGAGCTTTCGAGATTCTGGATAGTCCTATTCAATTTTATAAATAAATGCCCAATGATATAAAAGATTGCATAATATATAAAAGTCATAAATATCAAATGTATTTAAAGTTGCATAAAAATTTGTAAAACATCATATATTTTGAAACAACAAAAATCCCTAACACATCTTATATTTTGAAAGAGAGGAAGGAAGATTAATGAGTTAATCGATTTACACTGAATATCAAAATGGAAAAACAGATAGATGGTCGTACACAGTGACAAAAAGAAAAAAAAAAGATATGGTCGGACACTAATAGTTTCGGATCATACATACGTCAGTCAATAAGGGATAAGATATTAGGTTCGCACACTTGGACATCATTTCTTTATTTGTTTCGTTGAAAAAATTATGTTCTAATTTTATCGGATCTCCTCAACAAAATATCACTCCATTTCCACCACTCTCTGTCCCCTCTCTCGGCAATATAAGAAAATGCGAATTGAAAAAAGACACCTTAATTTTTCTTGGACCATAGAGAATTAGAGATATACATAAAAGAAAGAAAAGATTGTTCACAATGCCACCTTTCTTTAAATATTAATTACTACGAAGAAACAACATTGGGCATTTGGCAAACCATCAAGTAGCAACTATTGATTCTCTAGGGAATCTCGCATGCAAAAATCAATGTGTCCCTAGATTTTTTTTTTTTGTTGCATTGTTTGGTCAGATTCGAACATGTGACATGTTACTAATTTATGATCCGATGTTGTCTTGAATTTACGAAATCCGTACGTGTGTAAGTCGAAATTACATGTTAGTAAGAAACTCATAGTTTTGACCTTTTTGGCAAAAAAAAAAAAAAAAAGAACTCATAGTTTGGACTCCAAATGTCTATTATAAAGTTGCATTTACTTAATAAATGTTCTAACGACACGAAGAAACTTTTTATTACTGTCTGAGTTTGGCTAAAAGCTAATATGTTACTATGTCTATCACCAATTAAACCATCGACGTGTTTGATTCTATGCAGACAAAATTTTAGTTGTTTTTGTGTCGTACGTCAACTGGAATCTATATATGTGGTTGATTATTACGTTATCATTATTTTTGTAAATTTCTTCAATTTTTATTTCAAACACTCAGACAAACCAACATACGAAAACTGACTCAATAATTTTCATATATTTTATAGTTAGATTTATCCTTTTTGTAATAATGTTTGCGTTGACTGTTTAGCTAAGAAAATAAGAGCGCATAGTTTTTCTACTTTTGTTATGTAAATTCGTTGGTTTTTGATTAGTTCTGCGTTGAGTAAAGTGTCTTTCCGATAATATAAGAAAATGAAGGTGTTGATGTAAGAACAAACACACTAAATATGTCTCTATTCAACGATAATATAGTGTTATAAGATCGATCAACAAAATGGCTACAGAAATAAGCATTTAAAATTAATTAGGTGCATTGTATTTGGGACACGTATTGGATTGAGCATGATGAGAAACTCATGTGGATTCTGAGACTAGAAACTAGAAAGTGTTCTAATTAGATTCTTTGTCTTTATAAAGCAGATTCTCTTCTTTTTATTGTTTTATCTCTTCTTCATATTTGGAATATCTACAAATCAATTCCTAAGCCAATCATCACAGTATCTGGTTTTTATTTTTTTATCGACACGCGGGCTTATTCTTTTCTCCATTTGGTCGATCGAATATTCGAATGTAATGGGGACGATAGTTGTTGAGTTTTTTTTTTTTTATAAAAAAAAAATATACAAAACGTGAAGATAATTTTGCACATCTATTTTTGATGTTTTCATTTACAATTTCTGAAAAAGTAATTGGATAAACTACTAAGATACAATAATTTGATACGTGAACATAAAAAATAAAAATAAACGTTCTAAGTTTAAGGTTTTCTTTAAAAAATATATAGACACATCAACGGATAATGTTGATAGTTGTTCTAAACATAAATTTTGTGTTTGCCAGCCAAATGCATTTTTACAAACCATTTTTTTTCTTTTTTGTTCCTTTTGTTGAAATTGCTCTCCTTGTTTCTTATATACAATAGATAAGTAATCTGTTATGTGCATAAAGGTAAATACTTTTTTAAAATAACAAAGTGAAAAAAATTGTGTAATTAAGAAGAAGTTAATAGGTAACCAATTATAGTAATTTAAGTAATATGGTTAGAAATTACATGTCAGATATATATACATACAATACCTAAAGATGACAAATGTCAAATAGTAAAATAATAGAGCATTTATGGAAAACTATCTAATTTAGTGTAGAAGAAGATATACAGCCAGTATTCTTTGCACAAAAAAAAAAAGATATACAACCAGTATCCATTTGATCTCTCAATTTGTGCCAAGAGATTCTTTATTTGGCCTATAAAAAGCTATCACATGATTTCATTCTAAACAAACTAAAACATCTATCATAAACACAAACACATTGGAGCAAAGAAAAATGTCAAGAGAAATAGAACCACTAATAGTAGGAAGAGTGGTAGGAGATGTACTAGAAATGTTCAATCCAAGCGTGACAATGAGAGTCACTTTCAATTCCAACACAATCGTCTCTAATGGTCACGAGCTCGCGCCTTCTCTTCTCCTCTCTAAGCCTCGAGTTGAGATCGGTGGCCAAGATCTTCGTTCCTTCTTCACCTTAGTACGTATACTTAGCTTTCTTCTAAACTTAAATTATATATGTTAAGTACTTAATTAGTTCTCTCTTCTAACATTAATCTTTTGGTTTTCTTTTTAACTCGAAAGATCATGATGGACCCCGATGCCCCGAGTCCTAGTAATCCTTATATGCGTGAATATCTGCATTGGTATGTCGACTGAATATAGCACATTTCTTTCTGTATATAATAACAACAACAATGTATAATATGTTTTCTTTATGTTCATCAAATTCAGGATGGTGACAGATATTCCCGGGACAACCGATGCTTCTTTTGGTAAGAATACATCACATCATTACACATTTACATAGACTTTTCACCCACCACATCTTTGGTTTTAAACACATTTTTGGAAGAGGAAGAGAAATAGTGATGTATGTATGTTAATGAAGATGAGATCATGAATGGTGTTTGATTGTTTCATGCAGGGAGAGAGATAGTGAGATACGAAACGCCTAAACCAGTGGCGGGAATACACAGATACGTCTTTGCGCTATTCAAACAGAGAGGAAGGCAAACTGTGAAGGCAGGGCCAGAAACCAGAGAGTGTTTCAACACAAAAGCATTCTCTTCTTACTTTGGTCTTTCTCTACCTGTTGCTGCTGTATACTTCAACGCCCAACGTGAAACTGCTCCTCGACGACGTCCTTCTTATTAACTCTATCTATTATAACATAACTCTACTCTATAAACAATAAAGTTCAACCTACAAAGATTATGGATGCTTGAGCCGAATAAATCCAAACCATTACCAACATGTTCAAAAAGATCCTATTTTGTTCAAGTTCTGTTACTTAACAAGATAAAAGAGTATATGTTATCCAAAATGTTTCTATAAAAACAATATTCTATTCTCTAATTTGTCAAAACAAACTTACAATAGCTGCCCCCAGCTTTTTAGCTCACAGAGTAGTTTCATCAGTGAGAAAAATCTGTGTAGTAACTGGTTCACTTTTGACTCAAAAGCTTTATTATTTTTTTCGTTTGGCCCTCTAACAAAAATAGTATGCACCATTTTGAATCACTTCTTCTTGCTGCTATTCTTCTTCCTTCCCTTAACTTGGCTCTCCAAAGCCTTGAGCCTCTTACTAACAGGACTCAGCGATTGTGAAGAGATCCTCGGGTTTACTGGCGAAGGTGGTAGTGTCTGGTTCTGTGTATGGTCCTGTGTCATGGCTTTCATTTTCTTGAGAGCTGAAAACAGGTCAAATGAAGGTTGTTGACCTGGAGGAGGTGGAGGCAGATCAGGAATGCGTAACATCTTCTTCACTTGAGGACGCTTAATCACTGTCATTCATTAATCACCACATAAACTCCTTGTTATTGTTTCAAACCAAGAACATGCCACAGTTAGAAATCTTGATTACACACTCACTCACCAAGTCCATACATGAGAGAGAACAGGTTGGATGTAATCCAGTAACAAAATATGGCCTGCAAATTTTCGCAAATACGTTAGAATATCCATTGCAGAAAGCCATTGGGTTTTTTCAATAAATAATAATAACCTGTGGAAAACTCATTGTCATTGGGACCGTGAGGAGGGCAAAACCCCGACAAACGTTTTTTACTGTGCCAGCCATCGGATTCCCTTCCATGCCTTCTTGTGCATTACACTGGGAAGGGGACGCGTTTATGTTTAAGTTAGTAAGTCTGGCAAATAAATGCTGAAGATGTTAAATTTTTTATAAATTAGCAGAAACTGTACCTCAACGGTTATTAAGAATGTCAATCCTGTTATAACTGGCAAGATGTATAAGCTGTCGGGAGTTGTTAGATCGGTAAACCATAATGCACCTCCTGTTTGGAATGAAGGTACCTTCTCTGCCATATTTCGAATCTGGGAAAAAAATTAACTCATTTGAGACAAAAAGCCTAATAACAAACAACATAGCCAAACAAACATCTTAAAGATTCAAAGGTCTTACAGCAAGGAAAAAGCAGATGAACAGAGGTCCCTGAATAAACATTCCTTTCATTGGGGTGAATGGAGTGACACCATATCTGTAAATGATAAACAAACCGCATATGGTTATTTGGACATATCTACCAAAATACTCAAAATGTCAAGAGACTGCACCAGTAATAGCCAGTAGAAAGAGAGAAGCTATAATATGACATATAGCGCACTCCCTACCCAACTATGATCTACGAGGGATAACTGAAAATTAGTCAAGAATTTTAGATTTTCTGACCAAAAGAAGTTTTTTTTTTTTTTTGAGACCAAAAGACAGTTTATCACTCCAAAGAGGTCTTTAAGTTTGATTTTTCTGGTCAGAAAATGTTTAAATTTCAAAGCAGCTTACTCTTTAAACAAATTCTTCATCTTTTTTTGACCTTCTGCCATCGTAACCGAGTCCATTCCCTGAACAAAATTAGGCAGAACAAATATGGAGAAAATCAAAAGAAACATGAAGATAAGGAAATTCTGAGCTAAAGCTGAGTGGACATATCGTCAGTGCAAAAGCTATTAGCAGAGTAGCAAAAGTGAGGAGGACTTCCATGATGTATGGCTGTAACAACAAACTTAACATACCTTGTTTTGCATTTCCTCCCGGATGGACTCCAACCGTGGCCTCATCAGCTGCATGATCACAGAATAGACTACTGATGGATGTGGCATACGGCAGAAAAGAAAATAACCAAGTATAAATGACAGAAAATATAAGTTAATGTGCATAGACATATGCGTTCCTTTGTATGTCAAATTTGTTTCAGAACCTGAGTATGTAAATACACAAAAAGCAAGAAGATACTATAATGGTTGGAAAGTAGGAAGTTTTTCAAGAAGTTCACAAGTACCTCCTTTATAGGAAGTTTATGATTTATGCAGACTTGTGCTATTGACTACAGTGATGTGGATCTCAACTTCCTATTCTACAGAGACTTTCATATTCCTCATGAAATGTTTTAATATTTTTATAACCGAAAGAATCATGTCTAATTCTCTAAATACAGTCACTCTCTGTATTTGAAATCACTTCATACATGCACTATCTTAAATGGTCGGCAAGGTTTAAGCAAAGGGGCAAAAGGAAGCCACATACCGCTAACTTTGTGGTGTCTTTCATTTGTTTGATCAAGAGAGGAACTGTTGATGATCGGATCAAAATGGTTGCTACAACAATGGATGCCCACCTGTAAATAGCCAGAAAGGATATGAGGAAACAGTAGTAATATCTTAATCCAAATAACAAGATTCTGAGCATTGGCATATTGTTATACTAGACAGGGTATTCCAGCTTACATGTGACATGACACAACGAACATAAATCAAGTTTCTTACCACCCAAAGCCTGTGAATGAATGCACCATATCAATGCAATGCTGAAGGGCCGCGATAGGGAAGAAAGAGTCAGCAGCTGCAAGTGTAACTTCACTGACTGCAGCAGCAGCCTGAGCTGGCACATCTTGCAATGTTGAATCGGTTATGACTTCTGCAATGTCAGACATCACACCAATTTTCTCTGAACCGACACCAGGTGCAGTTGACATATAACGATAGAAAGCGAAAGCAGACATAGGAGCCATAGGTAAATATAAGCCTCCTCCAGAAACTTTGGAGAAATCTGAGTTGTTAACGGATCTTTGGTGAAGGAAGCTATGGTAACTTCTTTGAGATGTTTCTTGAGAGAATGAGTCCCTTTCATGATCATTCGCAAGAGGGATAATATGATAAGATGGTTGGCTCCGACGAGCGAAGAGTGTGGACCTTATAGCTAAGGTTCGCCTGAAAGCCATTGCAGAATCTAAACAAGATCCTACACTAGTAAGCAAAAAAAAGTCAATATCCAATAGATTGCTGATTGGTGAAAATATGTAATTTTGGTCACAGACCTATGGATTTTAAGATAAAAGAGCAAACTTTTTGTTCATCGATCTTACTTAAAACATAATCAAGTTTTGATTTTTGGAAATATGAATACAAAACAAATCATAGAAGAGGTAATTGAAAGATTGAAGTGTGAATATTTGAAGGAAACAGAATCTGATGGGAAAGCAGAGAGATTTCATAAGAGTTATCAATCAGCTTCAGACACTCTGATACATATCCAAAAATCTAATCTTGAAAATGATAAATCGCGCGAACAAAAAAAACAAACAAACAAACAAAAACCCAAACAGAGTAATAAAGAGGAAAACTTTAAACCCTAATTGAACAGAGAATCTGCAGAAATAATGAAACCTGGCAATGGAAGAAGGCGACAGTGACGGTGAGATGAGAAGACTATGAATCACGGCGAACTAAACAGAGACGGTGAATGGGTTTTAGAACGGCCAAGTTTATGAATTATGAGATCACTATAGGAAGGTCAGATCGTGTTCGGAAAAATTAGGGATTTTAGCTAAACCGTTCTGGTTTATTTTTTCGGTTTGGTTTCTAATCCGGAACCAATCCGATCGGTTTGACTTTTGACCATTCAGGTAAAATTTATCGTACCATGTGAGAAGATTTCTATGTATTTTGTAATACAAATTTAATTTGTTTCATTAGTATATAATCCGATAATCCGTTTAGATTTAATACTCACAATTATATTGATAAAGCTCTCGTTGTATGATCTCTAGGGTCCGTTTAACGTGATGATGAAGAGAAGAAGCAGAGAGAACAACTACAATATCTCATCACAACGTCGTCGCTACCGTGAAATCTCCACTAGGGAAAAGTCGCGTTATATCAATATCCCTCTCGATATAACGGTGGAGATACTTAAGAATATTAGGAGATAGAGATTTTCCTATACATGGAGAATATCCACAGTATCTCACACTAATGTTTTGAGAATATCCTATCTCCTAATAAAGAAACTCCCGGCGAAGTCTCTCGTGAGGTTCCAATGCGTCTCGAAGCAATGCTCAACCATTATCGGATCCCGTAGAGACTTCATTGATTCGATCGTGGCTGTTCGATGACTCATCCGCAGCAGCGGTGTGATGTCCAAATCATCTTCCACTACCAATCAGACAAATCTTCTTTTTTCATCTTCGCACATCCTCAAAACACTGACCAAGAATTTGTATCAATCCCTGGATTAACGGTCGATAGTTATGGCTACGTTCGCGGTTTTATTTTATGTTGTTCAGACAGTTCTATTTCGGTAGCTATATACAACCCTACTACGAGGCAGTCTAGATGATTTATTCTCATAGATGATTTATTCAATCACGTTTTCGTCTTTGGGTACGACCCTGTCAAGAATAGATACAAAGTAGTGTGCCTGATTACCAAATCGGAAGAGTTGGAGAACACTTTTTTTTTGTTTTCAAATTGAGAGATCCCAAGAAGCAATGGAGGAATATCAAATGCGGCATCCAACATCACTAAAGATCATGGCTCTACATTTTTCTTGGTGAGTTTTGATGTTAGGTCCGAGAAATTTAATCATGTGATGTTGGAAAGAAAGCGTAAGAAGTTTTCAAACAATTTTTATTTTGTTCTATATATTGGTTTCGAACCAGTTGTTATATACAGTATAAAAGCCTGCTAATAGATAAGGAGGGTCTTTGATGTTACCCAATACTGTACTTAACCATTGAGTGATTCACTTATCTCTATGAACTCCATCTTTTCCTTTGCAATTCACAAACAACATTGCTTTTATATGTGCTAACGTGCACGTCAATTCACCCTTAATCACTTTTCGCATGATATGGCTTGTTTTAAGAGGTGGACATATTATCTCAAAATATCCAAGTCGGCTCATTATTCATATAAACCTCATGGCCTTCACACAACCTCGGTTGCAAACCAACTCCAAACACACACAGAAACGCTCTTTTTTTCGCTTTGTCTATAAACCCTATCTTGTACAACAAGCGAAAACGTCCTAGCTAGTTTGGCAGAATAATCAATCGATATGACGAGACCATTCTCTCCGGTGGTGTTTTTCTTCTTACTACTACTGCCGGCGATATGTTCAGCCACCGTAGAAAACGCGGCCGACTGTGCGGCAGTAGGAACGCTGATATCCTCGTGCACGGAGTTTGTGAATTACGGGTACCCGGATCCGATACCCGGGTCACGTTGCTGCGACGCGATGACCGTAATCGGAACGTACTCTGATTCGTTGGAGAAGAGAAAGTGGCTCTGTAACTGCTTCATGGATCTCATCAATGTCTATAACCCTAACGCCACCGCCATTTCTACTTTGTCTGGCTTCTGCGGCGTCGTTTTGGGCTTCACCATCGATCCTAACACCGATTGCAACTTGTAACTTACTATTAAACCCTTTTCTCTATGTATTCCTTTATAATTTATTTATCAAATTTGATTATTTTGTTTTCCTTTTTTAGCATTCAATGAAAATTCAAAGCTCAGTGGATTCCAAACGACATCGTATCACACCCTATGGATCAAATGTGTCAAGTTTTTGAACTTTTAATCTGAAGTTCGGTTAGCTCCTCTTATCTTAAACAAGATGTATTAAACTCATTTAGTAGAATTGTCTTGAGAAAACAGTAAGGAATGTTAGTTTGGTTTCATTTTTTCTAATATCTCAATAATCAAATCATTTTAACCATATCAAAATTCATTTCGGTTTTTGACTCAGTTTAATTTATTTTAATTGAACACTTATTAGAACATAGTTATGTTAGAACATAGTTATGTTCCTTCTTTTGCAAGCAATCGAAACTTGTTAACAACAATTTACACATCCAGTTACAACTTGTCTCTCCTGGAAAATTACCAAACTCAAACAAAAAGAAAAGAGAATCATAATCTAAACAAGAAACGAAGAATGCATCCTCGATTTAGCACTTTGGTTCCGATTCAATCGATCAGAAACTCCTCCTCCATAGTAACCGGCGCTTCCAACATCCAAACTCTCTTCTGCTACCGCCGTGTAGTAGTAATACTGTCCCTGAACAGATCTCTTGTAGCCACTGGTCTCATTAGAGACCTCAACTCTCTGTTTCGGCGCGCTCTGTGACCGGACTTTAGCTTTATAAGACTCAGTGTTAGCCATGTAATTCGGGTGGTAACCCGAGTAGTAATAGTTATTACATCCCCAAGAATACTCACTTCTTGACGTTGGCGTAAAAGGAGTTCTTCTTCTCGACCCACTAGACCCAACTTGAGGACTGTTCTCTGTACTTCTCGGACCCAAAAGAGATTGTTGTCTTTTCCTTGGAGACTCATTGTTTCTCTCTGAACGTAGCGGTTTCGGATGATAATGAGGCTTCCAAGTATCCACTTCTAGGATCTTGTCTCCATCTTCGCCTTCCTCAGCTTGCCAATCTAACCGTTTAGAGCCTCCACGGTGGTCCATAGAGATGACTTCAGCGCTTGAAACGCAGCGCGTGTGGAGAGAACGTGGAGAAGATGAGGAAGATGGGAACAATAGAGCGGTTGAGGAGTGGAAAGAAGCAGAGGAGTGAGAAGAACGAGAGGCTCGAGCACGAGCTTGAGATTGTAGACGAACCAGAGTCTGCATCCTTCTAAGCATATCTGCAGTTTGTTTTCTCACTATGTGTCCTCTAACTAATGCTTGAAGCTTCACTAATGCCTTTAGTGCTCTTAATGCTCTCCTTGCCTGAAAAATTTTCCATAGTAGCCAAAAAAGCAAACCAATAAACTTCTTAAAGTCTTTAATTTATGTCAAAATGGAATATAGAAACAACTTGAAGTAAAAACTGGCTCCACCACAAATAATCAAAATTTGAGTTTGCTTGAAAGTGAATAACAAAGACAAGGCGAGTTTAATCATTTGTTGAAGACATAATCATAGTTTTGACAACTAATATTAAACCCAAAGAAAAAAGAGTACTAGTGGTTTGTGAAATTATTCTATTTTGCTTTTAGTTTCCCAACGACTTCCACTTGTACCAAAAACTAGATTTAGTAATTACAACAGATCCCACCATTCTCAAAAGTATATGTCTCAAAGGTCAAGATGTACACACACACACACACACACACGAGTTCTTGTTTTCACATTCGAGAACACATAAGATCTTGGAAGTTGCATAATTTAACTCGAATTAGAAAATCTCCAAATTCCGTGTTTTGAACCTTTTATTTATGAACAATTCACCGATAGGAAACTTGAAAAAGGGTTAAAAAAAAAAAACATGGTTAAAAAATGAAACTTTGTAAGTAAAGGGAAAATAAAATAAGCAACTTGTAAAAGTTTTTGGCTAAAGATTTCCACTTTAAAGTTGCTGTCCTAAAGCAAAAAAAAAGAACACATCTGTAAAATACTAATTAGTCTTGTTTATTTCCATAAAGCTCAGAATTAAAAAGCACAAAATAACGTGGGAAGAAAAAGAAAAATAACTTGGCCCATCTTACAACTAAAATCAAATGATTCAAACAAACACTAACGTAAGTTCATTTCGAAATTCTGATCAGATCTTTCATAAAAAAATTTAGTGATATGAAGCAGAAGAAGAATGTGATTTTAAAAAACAATCGAACTATTGATAAACACTAAAAATAGTGTCGGCAGTGTAACAAGTTTCGAAGAAACTTCTTTGTTTCACATTTGTTTGTCTTCTTCTTCTTCTATAGTCAGTTTCTTTGGGACCAAACCCCACACCAAAAAATACAAATTTTACCCATTGTTTTGTTTCCGTTTTTAAAATTTGAATTTTGGAATGAGGAAAAAAAAAATCCCCGAATTTCAGACAGCTATTTCACATTATGTACAGAATTTTAAGAAATTTTCTTTATAGATTAGAATAATTGATTTAAATTCAAATTTTTGAATGATTCTTTAAAACTTTAGAGAAATCAAGAAATTAGTAAACTAACCAGATAACCACGAAAAGCGGATTGAATCTTCCTCGCCGCTAGATTCTCCTGAGCCCACCGACGGTTACTTCTTCCGATTTGAAACACCGACGAGTTTCCACCGCCACCGCCATTTCTCCCGCTTGTGAGTCTCACGACTTCAGCTGCCGCATGAGCAGCAGTAAGAGCTGCTTCAGCCACCGCGGCGGTCGCAGCAGCCACGGCTATCGCATGTTTGTCGGCATCCAAACCGTTTTGCTCCTCCACAAACGTCTTCGCCGCCGGAGCTCTCTTGCTGGAATTTGAAGATCTAGTAGTGAAGCTCCACCTCCGTTTATCTCTCGACGGAGCTGATTTATCAGACTTTTTACTCCCGAACAGTCTCCCAAAAAAGCCCATCGTTCATCGTCGGAAAATCGTCGGAGAAGTGTTATCAGAGATTTCTCCGGTGGATTTACACTTCATTTAATTGCTGAGAATATAATTTTTTTTAATTACAAAAAAAAAAAACATAAACATTTGGTTATGGAGAAGCTACGACTGGTAACGACTTATATATAGATTGCAGAGAACGCATCCACGCGCCTAGTATCGCGTTAGTTACACGCGTATTTTAAAAGGGCTTTTTTTTTTTTTTTTTGCTTGACTTTAAGTAAAAGAGCGTCGGTTAAAGTCAATGGGCCTGACTAATCCTACCAACCGTACCAGATCTGTGCTTTGCGGTTTGGTTCAAAACCATCAATTACGTCATTTTTAAAAATTTTACTTAATTTTGTAATGTGAAGTGAAATTAGATAATTTGAACATATGAAAAATAAAAAAGAGAATAATTGGGAGGACGTGTCATTCTCTGAAGCCCATAATTTTCACTGCAGTCTAGTGTCTGTGACTTCTGCATTTTGCAGCTTTTTTCTTTGCTTCAATCCAATGACTGCAAACTTTACAATTGTGTAGGAAAATATATTTTTAAAAATCAGAATTTTTGTGTGTGGATGATATACATAGGTCATAGGTGTTTATCTTTCATCCACTGACCCAGGCCACATAATGTTACGTTACATAGGTTTGTTATTGTGGTGGCACAATTCAAATTCTTGTACTTCAATTATATATCCAAATGCTCAGTCTCATCTTTTTAATTATAAGAGATGTTGTTAATCACTAGCTAGATCAACCCTCAATTTTGAAAGTTTTTTTTCTTTCTTAATTCATCTATTTATTTGTTTAGTAATCTATATATATATTACTATCCAGACTAGGATGCAGTTTAGAAATAAGTCTATAGAAAAAGGAAAACAGATAGGGAATATTCGAAAATAAAAACTAGCTGTGATAACGATCGACTAGAACCAACTAGTATCCTCAAGTCGTATTCAGGAATCAACTAGGGGGGTCAGGTGCAATTTTTAGACTTTCTAGCTTTTGAACAGACACTGTTAGCTTGGGCACAAATAAAACTTACATAATTTTCCATGCATATATTAAACAAGCCTCCAATCTAATTATTTCCGATATCCAGACTTAGGTAGATGATTAAGAATGATTATCAGACAGGGAAGGTTTTATTCTCATAATTAGCAAAGCTTTTTATTACACTAGTAGTATCTAAATTTCTAAGCAAAGCTACCAGAACTTTATTATAATAAAAGAGGCAGAAGTGAGAAAAAAAAACATAAAACTAGAATAGTTCCCATTATTCTTTATTTTTCCCGTTTTCCTTGATCATCTCGGACTTGACTTAGCTCAAGTGCTTAACTAAGCATTTATACCTGCACAACACAAAAACAAAACAAACAAACAAAAACCTCAGAAACAGATATGAAATATAGAGGTCTATATATCATTAAAGAAACACATTAGCCGAGTTATAGCTAGAGCCGCTATATTATGAGGTTCGATCCTACATTCCTACTTAATCTACTTTAGAAAAATAGCTAATCATTTTTAGCCCAACTATTTTTGGACTATTAAGAAATAAGGTCGGGGCTTATCAATTTTTTTGCTCGGCTCATCGAATCTTAAGCCAAGTCTTTTTTGGTTTGGCATATATAGTTTTGTTCACAAAACGTATAAATGGTCGATTTCTTAATATATACTACGAAGTAATCTAAAAATTGCTGGTAATCTAGTGGTTGATTAAATTAGATGTAGATACAAAACTATCGTATCCATACTCAAATTATGTATGAGATTTGTTTTGTTCATCCTTATCAAATATTCATACTTGTTGCCTGTTGGTTAGAAGTAAAGTAAATCCGTACCGCAATCCACAGGAGGAAGGTTACAAAGCGAAGGAAGAGAGGTGGCTGCACGGAGAGCGTTGCATAGACAATCTCTATTAGTAGATTGAAGTGCGGCGCAACACTCTGAATTCGGTCTGCCTGAACCGGGCAGCACCATGGCGGCACACACCTGCACATTTGCTAGATCGTTGCCACACTCTTGGGCTTGAACCACCGGTTCTATAGCAGTCATGGCTAGAAAAAGAACACTGAGAACGGCTGCCAAAGACTTGAACGATGCCATGGATAAGCTTGTTTTCTTTATATATATTTTGATGTAGTTCTATCTATATGATTTAAGATCTCACAGCTATATATATATATAAATTGTTCGAATGTGTATATTTTGAGAGATAAATTGGAATGAGATGAGGAGACGTTTGGCATGGCCACATGGTCTAGTTAGTTCATAATATTTACATGCGAAAAGCTATAGACATGAAAAAGCATAACTATTTTTTTAGTTTTTTTTCTTCTTCTTTTTCATATTATTAAGTCCACGCTTTTTGTCATATACACAATTATGTTATATATGCAATTAACTATAGTAAAAGGAGTTGATAAGTTTGCTTGAATCTCTTGTAGACTGTGGGGTGCATGGGTCTAGTAGGATGGTTGGTATATGGAAGATGAAAAGTATAAATTTTCCAAGTTTTGGCTTGTTTTGTTGCTGAGTTCCTGAAGAGTATAATTGTACCTATCAACTTTAAATAAAGGAGGCAAAAGAAAAGAAAAAAAAAAGCATAATATTGACTGATAAGCGATGAGTTGCTGAAGAACAGTCTTCTTTTCCAGAATTAGTAACACTTTCCAGAAAAACCTCTTCATAAAAAGAGAAGCTTTAATCTAAGAAGAAGAAAGAACAACAACATGGTAGTAGACACGTTAACATTAAATCCCCCTCATGAGATTCATATACCTAAGAAAGTTAGTCTTTAGTAACTCATTCTTTACAAAGACAACATTGGAATTAACTATCAAAAGATCTCTCATGACTTCCAAGAATATCCCATGTTTTCATCAACCTCATTGCTAAAAAACCCGTTAGTCCCAAAGTTGAGCGATGTATTCGAGATAATACCTTCCAGATTTTGGCTCTGGTCTAACCCCTTGATGCCTCTGAATCTGTTGGAGGTGCTTGGTGTTTCAGCTGCTGCGGGAACATAATCAGTTCTGTTTCTTCCCATGTTGGCATTGCAATTCATCATGTTCTGACCAGAAAGTGACTGTTGTTGTTGACCCGTGCCTCCATTGCTGTTTGCCATCTGTTGCCATATTTGGTGAATCATTTGTTGTTCCAATGTTTGATTACCGCTACTACATGACGGTGATTGTTGGTGGTATTGCTGGGCTGAGCTATTATAACTGGAGCTTGGCATTTGCCGCTGAGGAGATAAATGGGAAGAAACACCACTTATTGATGGGCTATGCACAAAACCAGGTAACAAAGGACTAGTTCCTTGATAGTTAGGGGATGCACTTCGGTTTCTTGATGGTTCTTGTTGGATTGTGGTGTTGTTCGGGTCTGAATTCAGATGGTTTTGTTTCATGAGCATGGTCTGGTAATTGGTAAGCGCAAAGGCAGCGGCTTGTGCAGAGCCGGGTAGAGTACCTTGACCGCTCATATTGTTCATCGGTATGTTTATCCCGGAATTGCGTAAGGCCATTAGCTTGTTGAGACTGTTCCTATCAGGTGGAAGTCCTCGAGCAGCATTTGCTAGTTGCTCCATCTCCTGCATCTGCGGTTTAGCAGCCTTCATTCGATATGGATAGCTCTTCAAAGCCTCTGCAAATGTAAAAAGGCAGCAAGAACGCTTTTTATAAGCACAACGAAGTGAAATAAAATGCGTTTTGATGAATCTCAGGGGCTCTCTGGGATTTATGTATTAACTTACCGATTGGACCCACTTTTTGGTCACGGCAAAAGTCAATCATATCTTTCATGCTGCTGACAACCTCAGAAATCTGTGAAAAATAGAAGACAAGAGTTAAACATAAAAAGGAGACAAGCCACCAGGAAGATTTAGAGATATTAGGATATTACTGACTCAAGAAAGTAGGCAGAGAGATACCTGCAAACACCGAACATATCGTTTGGAGAAGCCTAAGTCATTGAGTGAATGTGACTCCAAGCTTTTTGCTAGTTGACGTCCAGCAGCCATGACCCTGGAGCAAAAAACTTGGCATTAGCACATCATATTTGTATATATTAAGCTAAAACGCTTTGATCTTCTTTGCATCAATGAAAAACCTTACCTAATTACCGTAGAGGAAACAAGAAATAATGAAAATAAATTGAATGAAAGAAATAAAGAAGAAAGAAAGGTAAAAGTTGTCTAGACTTATCGACTCACATGTTGCTATTAGCTTGCAAATCCTGCTGATGAATCCCATCTGATCCACTTTGATCAATTGTGCTCTGACATTTCTCTGCAACCTGAAGCAGTTGGTTCACCTGCACGACCCAAAGAAACAGACATTCCAAAATCTCAGGACCAGGTATTTCAAATAGAGTTACAAGATTGTAAGAACTAAGAACCTTTAATGTTACCTGTGGAGCTACTAGGCGGCGAGGAAGTAGCTCTTCATGTCGGCGAGTACAGAACTCCCATGAGATAATCTGGCAAAAGCAAAAGGATAAGCTAAATAACTCTAAAACATAAATGATTAAAAGTGTATGGAATCAAAAGCTTTTTAAACCTTCAGCTCTTGGGAGAATATAATCCGAAGATGGCCTTCACGAACAACACGGATGTGTTCATACACACTCTCCTGAACTGCTTTTCCGTACTCTAACACCATAATTCCAGAACCATATCTGCGTTCAGACGGTACGCCCAGATAAAGAAGCTCGTCAAGGACACCACTTGCGAATTTGATTTCGTTAAGCCTTGGTAAGACATCAAAAGTTGCTTCTGCAGAATTCATAAGAAAAACTTAGTAAGAGAAGATGTTTTGCTACCATAAACATTTCTGATATTTCCCACTTCTTCATTAGGGGGGATAGGTAAACTGGAACTTACCAAATCCTCTTCCCGATTTAGAACCGCAAAGATCACACTGCCATTCATCCTGCAAATAGCAAAAATACAAACAACAAGAATAAGTAACTTGTGTAACTACACTGTAAGCCCAGCATATAAAAGCTAAGACTATCAAGAGAACGAGTAAAAAAAGAAAAGAAAAAACGAAATAGTCAGGGACACAAACCGTGGCTGCCTGAGGAGAAACACCAAGTGCGCTATGCCCCACATTATCATAATGAGAAAGACACCATCTTTTCTTTGCACGGGGAGAAAAATACTCCGTTACAAATTTCCTCCAATAAACAATACTGTTCTCCTACAAAATCAGTAATGACACGACTGGTATCTGTCAAGAGTTTTTTTCTAGAATACACATAAAACAAAAATTCTGACTGGATACTTACAGAAGGCCTCTGTCGCTGATGATATAGGTACTGCATCAATCTTCGAGCGCCAACGCTATTTTCGTAAGGTCTTGGCCCACCGGTTAGTTGCAGTTGCATTCCTTGTTGTTGCAACTGTTGCTTTTGCTGTTGGTGCTGCTGCTGCAACTGTTGCTGTTGCTGCACTTGTTGCTGCTGCTGCAGCTGAATCCGTTGCAATGGTGGGAGGGACTGAAGATATTGTTGCTGTTGCCTCAGCTTTTGTTGTTGAAGCAAAAGTTGGAATTGTGGATTCTGGCCTTGTTGTTGTTGATGTTGCTGCTGCTGCAATATATCCTGTCTCTGAAGCCACTGACGTAAAATCTGCTGCTGCAAAGCATCATCCTGCTTTGAATCTATTCTAGGTTTTTTCCGTGCTTGGTTTAAGTTATTTGGGTCCTGAAAGAACGATTCAGAAGCACGACGAGCCATGGAAAGCGGGATTTGATTAGTTTGTGATGTAGGCAGTGATGTAGCACTGGAACCTCCTAGCTGAACACTTGGATCATGCCGTTGTACCACAGTTGACCCGTCTACAGCTGATGACCCAGAAATACTGATATTGTTAGAGGAAAACGACATTGGAGACGCCGGTAAACGCATATAGGACTCATTATTGATACTAGCACTACGCTGCAAATGAGGACCACCTCCAGAGAGCCCAGAATTAGCATCTGTGACAAGCGAACTAGCTCCAGCGCTTGGACCCGGGGTCGAAACAGTCATCATAACAGGATTATGCATATCACCAGAAACCATACTGAGATTATGATAACCACCAGTAGGTCCACATCCAGGGACAGAGTTAGATGAATTCCCATAAGAGGAAGTCAAGTGAGAGTTAATGAAACTTTGAGATTCATCATCTCCTTGAAAGAAAATCCCAGAAGTTGAAGAAGCCATTTAAGGGTAGGTCCCAAATCCAAGTTTCTTCCTCAATGCGACACAAATGTCCCACCTTTACTACTGATGCCTACAACATAATACATTTACCAATTAAAATCAGATCAATAACATTCTCTTCTATCGAAACATACACTTGAATCTGATGCTCCAATGATGATAAACAGACATTGAACTTGACCTCTGAAATAAAACCCCAAATCAAAACCCTAATTTTAAATAAAGTTCGTTACTTTACATAAACTAACCGATAAACTAACTAAACCCCAAACAAAAGAAATAGATACAATCCCTTAAAAATCTCGGAATCAGATATTTAAAAAGCAACAGAAATTGAATTAACACAAATATATATATATTGGGAAGAACATAGAAAGAACGTACCAAGAACTGTGAAGTAAAGCTTCGATCAACATAGAACAAAAGCTGAGAGATCACAACTAGGAATTAAACCCAGCTCAAATCGGAACAGAAAGAAGAGGAAGAGAAATTAGTAAAGAGAAGAAGAAGAAGAAGAAGGAAAACATTAGCCTGGAAATTTCAAGCTGTAATATAATAAAGCTAAAATAAACAATCTTTCTTATATTTATTTTATGTTTTTTGTTTTTGCATAAAAAAGGAAAAATCAGAGCTGGAACAATATGAACTTGACGCGCCTTTGTTAATATACCTAGTGGAAATCGTAAGAACCCAAATCTGACCGGACTAGCCGGTGACCTTTGCTAGTAGTACCTTTTTATTACCCGTTAGTCAATACTGACACGTGTCTTGTTTATCGTAACAAGTATCGTTTGATCGATTGGTAACCTTTAGATGTTCTCATTGCGTGGCAGATGCTTTACCGCACGATGGATAAAGTTAGTTCTATTTTGGATCGTCCGATTGAGTAGCGATCGTGTGCGACGCGTGTAGTTTAAAGTTGATTGACCAAATTATGTTTTTTTTTTTTTTTTTTTTTTGTAATAACTGTACCAATGATTGCAGCTGTAAATGAGTGGGCTTACGACAAATATCCCCTTTTTTTGCATGATTACTTATTGACCCCAATATTACTCACTTTCACAATTCAACCCCCAAAATATCAAAGTATTGTTCAGTGGTTTCATCAACCATACATGATACATCAACCATAATAACACAAAAATAAAGCTCAAGGATAATCAAAAAAATCTAAATTAGGCTTTTAGGCTCTAGCACATGTCCCTAACTGAACAAACCTTACCCAAATGAGATACAGAGCGATGTTATCCGCGAATCGAAGAAAGAAACACACAACTTTAGAGTTTATCATATTATGAGTTTAAGGCTTTAAGCCAATAAGCCCATTTCATTAGTTTAGGCCCATTATTAGCCCATAAGGAAGAAATAATTACAAACTCTGTTCTCCAACAGTTCAAAGCTCTGTTCGTGAACAGTCTTGACTCTTGAGCCATGTCTCTGTTCGAAGCACTAGCTTGTTCAGCAGAAGATTAAAGAAAGCTCGCATGTGGTCCGTTTGGTCCATGGATCAGTCAAAACTTGGCAAGAGGACACACCACACCGACGATAATTGTAGACAATGTAGATGTGCAACTGCAAGAGAGAGAGAGAGAGAATTTAAGTTTCAGAGTTTTGTCGGAGTTAAAGCCATGACGTGTAACACAAGTTTCTGTTTTGATTGCTCGAGTAATTACCCGATACACTTAACCGCAAGGTAGTATATACGGGGTTGATCCACAAGAACCAATGGTACACTAAAGACTTCCGAGACTCGTTCTTAGCTAAAGCGAAGAGTTGTTTTGTTTGGGTTTTCAGAATTATAAATAAAAATACAAGTAATTTAAACGATTAAACTTATGAATTAAAGACATTGGGCATTAGGGTATTTCAGAGATCAAGTTGTTTCACTAGCTTACCTGGACTTAGAAATGTAGAACACGACTTATATTAGCGGAGCTAGAAATTTCTGTTATAGGGGTCAAATTTTTTTTTAAAATATAAAATAGTACACTAAAAAATTTGATAATTTTTATTTGGTGTTTTGTAAAAACTGAAATAACATTAGGTGAATATTTTTTTTTATTTAAGATAAATAATGGGTCTAAAGTTTTAGTGAGAATCTAACTTCCAAGTATTTGGACTATTTTTCTTTTCATGTTGTAGCATTAATTTTGTATTGGGGTCAAAATTTATTATATGTTGGGGTCATTAAAATTATTGCTAATAATATATAATAGATTTTTGAAAATTTATGGGGGCCAACTGACCCCCTATCAAAGCCTTGCCTCCGCCACTCCTTATATAATAGTACAGAACAAAGACGACAAATAAATATAGATGTAAGCCGTGTTCAAAAAATCGCTAGGCGCTAGTCGGGCGGTGAGGGTGTGCCTAGCGCCTAGCAAGAAAATCGGGGATTACACGGGGATTAATCGGGGATTAGTTTTAGGGCTATTTAATATTTTAAAAACATATTAATCCATTATAATTAAGTAATTTATATAATATTGTTTTTAAAATTATATTAAACACATGAAAACAAGATTTTAATTTCAAATTTATGATTTTTATACAAATTACGAACATAAGTAGGACGTTTTGAATTTTAGATGAAAAAAAAAGTAAACAAAAAAAAAAAACAAAAAAAAAAAAGCAAAAAATTGGGCTAGGCGCCGTTTAGGCGGGCTAGGCGGTCCAGGCGAGCAAAAAATCAGATCTCCGATTTTTCTCACCGATTTGGACAAAATCGTCGCGGTGCTTCTCCGATCAGCGCTTAGGCGGCCGATTTTTAGAGCAGGGGATGTAAAGACTAAGGACATTAATATATCGTCATTATTTATCAGAAACAGAAATAAATGTGTGGGGGATACAATACAACATATTTTAAATATATGTGATGACTGATGATAATGAGACATAACAACAATCACATTAGCTGTCACTCTTTTCTTTAACTTTTCTATTGTATAAAATTTTATAAAACAATAATCTGCTTTTTATGATTCTTATCTTTCTTCTTCTTCCACGAGTTTTGTCCAGAAACAGAAAAATTAATTTATTACAAACAAAAGTATATTTATTTCCCTTTGGTCAGACGTTTCTTCATTATTCTTCTTCTTGATCTTGTTCAGTAATCAACTTCATCTCATCATTTATCTGTTTCCTCCTCTCTCTCTCTTAATCAAAGATGATGAAAATGAGAAGTGGGACAACTGCGACAGCTTCCGGCGACGGTGAGTTGGAGCTCCGACCTGGAGGAATGGTTGTACAAAAACGAACGGAACATAGCTCTGGCGTGCCACGTGTCATTCGGGTTCGGGTCAAATACGGGTCGGTCCATCACGAGATCAGTATCAACTCTCAATCTACTTTCGGTAAACGACCCAAAACAGTCCGAATATATACATTTTATGTTTCTTATGCTCTGTTTTTTTTCTGAATTTGATTGTTGTTGTTGAATTTAACAACAGGGGAATTAAAGAAGATATTGTCTGGTGCGACAGGAGTTCATCATCAAGACATGAAGATTATATACAAAGACAAAGAAAGAGATTCAAAGATGTTTCTTGATCTTTCTGGTGTCAAAGATCGTTCGAAACTTATTCTTAAAGAAGATCCAATTTCTCAGGAGAAACGTCTCCTTGAGTTGAGGAAAATCGCCGCCAAAGAGAAATCCACTAAAGCAATCTCTGATATTAGCTTCCAAGTCGAAAGACTCGCCGGACAAGTAACTTAATAAACATAAAATTTAAATTTTCCGGACAACACTCTTGTCTCGTAACTTGAAATCATAATTTTTGGTTTTTGTTTTGGATTTTAGCTGTCGGCGTTTGATTCAGTGATTGGTAAAGGAGGGAAAGTTGAAGAGAAGAATCTTGAGAATTTGATGGAGATGTTGATGAATCAATTGGCCAAGCTCGATGCCATCTCTGGTGATGGAGACGTTAAATTGAAGAAGAAGATGCAGGTACTTAAAATTAAGTTTTTCTAGTTAATGACTCTATAACTCAATCTTACTAGAATTTAAATGTGTTTTCTAATGATTATTTAAAAATGTTGGAAGGAGGAAAGATTACAGAAGTGTATTGTGGCTCTCGATTTGTTGAATATCAAGAACTCAACGCAACCGCAACCTAAATACAAGGAACGAGATTTGCTCACATTTGATGAGGAAGCGTCAAGGAAACCGACGATATCCTCATCAAGTCCTCCGGTGATCATAACAACGAGATGGGAAACGTTTGATTCTAATTCCGCCTCCACGACCACGGACACTGTACAAACCGTTAAACCGGTTCACCCAAAATTTAAATGGGAATTATTCAATTAAGATTTTTTTTTTGTGCACCCAATTATTCAATTAAGATATATATACACATTACACGATAATATATTACACTATAATTAGTTATTTCCTGTAAGTTGTAACATATGTGATTTTTTTTTGGTCTAGCATATGATCTGTGATTGGTCTCTTATGCTTCAAACGAGTGGTGATGATTGTCATCATCATATATTTATAGAATCGTAATCATTGTATACCTTATTTTTTGTTTCTTCATTTCTGTTTGAAAAAGAGTTCACTTGAAATGGAATCCAAACTACGCGTGTGAGAATGTTTTGTTGGTCTTCTTATAATTAACCCTTATTTTTCTTCATCTGCAAATTTTATGTATATTCATGATTTCGTTAAAACTCATGATTTTACTGATATATATATAAAGAATCACATCATTAAAACAAGTGTTGAACAAATATGTTAATGATATGCTACAAGAGTGTAGTAAGTAAGTAATTGTACTGGTGTTGTATATCAGCGACTGTTCAAATGCAAAACGATCCATGACAAAACAAAAACAAACCATAAACTTCTAAGCAGTCGTTGTAAACCTCCTTGAATATAGGAAAATGAAAAGTGCTCATATTTATGAATGCTTTGATTCGTAGACCAAAGATTTAACATTAACAAATGCTTCGAAGATACATCATAGCATTTTATATCATTTTTTGTCCAAAAAATAGCATTTATATCAAATATAAAACTAAAATTCCGTTATACGGTTCCAAACATATATCTCCAACTACAATCACTCATCAATGATATATAAAATCTACAAAATTCATAAAATATCATCCAAATTAAATATGAGTCATGACGACTAAAACAACATCCAAAATTTAAACATAATCTTAAACCAAAACAATATCCAATTTTAAATAAAATCTTAAACAACAACATACCAAAGTTATCAAATATTAATCAAATACTTTTAAAAGCGAAATTGGGAGAATTTTTCAGAACATGTCATCAAGATCGAGCATAAAGTTCATGAGGTCATCATCCTTCCACTCCTGAATCAGAAAACACAAACAAAAACTAGTAAATATATTTGATATAAGAAGTTAGATGTAGTTCACACGTAACATTTCCTAAACTACAAATAGTATACCTTAATTATATGCCTATAATTGATTTTTTTTTTAAATGAAAATATGGCATCGGAGTATAACTAGATTTTTTCCATTCAAAGAAAAAGTTATGTAGAATTCAATAAAATTTGAATAGAATTGTAACCAAAATTAACTAACTAAAATAGGACTGTAATGTTTAAATACCTGATCAAATGGTAATGGAACATCCACATTACCTTGTTTCTCCTATGCAATTAATGTTCAAATATCAATTATGTGTCATACCATTGTACACGAAAGTGGTTTGATGTAAAAAAAAAAAAAAAAAATTATTTGTATAATTATATATTTTTCTTTTCAAAGTGAAAATTATGTAGACTTCAATAAAATTCGAATAAAACTATAACCAAAATTATTATCAAAATAGGATTGCTCAGGTTTAAAAGCATTTTACCTGATCAAATGCCAATGGAACATCCGTCAAATCCGCAACACCTTGTTCCTTCTATCCGATCAATGTTCAAATATCAATTATGTCATATCATTGTACACGAAAGTGGTTTGATGTAAAATCAAAAATAATATATAATTATAAATTTTTCCTCAAATTGAAAATAATTTTGACTTCATTAAAATTCGATAGAACTATAACCAAAATTATTATTAAAATAGGATTGCTAAGGTTAAAAGCATTTTACCTGATCAAATGGCAATGGAACATCAGTCAAAGCCGCAAGACCTTGTTCCTCCTATGTAACCAATGTTCAAATATCAATTATTTGTCATATTATTGTGCACGAAAGTGGTTTGATAAAAAAACATATATATCAATTATTTGGATAATTATATTCTTCCTTTCTTTCGAAAATCATCTAAAATTCAAACAAATTCAAAACAAAGCTATAACCAAAATAAATTTTACTAAAATAGGATTGTAAAGGTTTAAGAACATTTACCTCATCAAATGTAAGTAAAACATCCGTCAAATTTGCATCACCTTGTTCCTCCTATGCAATAAATGTTCAAATATTAATTATTTGTTATATCAAGTAATTTAGTGTAAAAATATATAGATATTTATAGTTACCTGATTCATAGTGTTCACGTCGGAAGCAGGAAAATTCATTTCTGAATTAGCAGCAAAAGAGTTCAATGTTTTTTCCGAAGAGTTGTTCACCTAAATCATATAGTACATATGATTAATAAATTTCTATCCATATATATATATATATTACACATGAATATACATGTAATATAAATCTGACTTACGTTATTAATGCTCAAATAATTAATATCCTCAAGAGAATGAGTAGCAAGAATTGAATGTTCAAATATCAATTATGTCATATCATTGTGCACGAAAGTGGTTTGATTTTAAAATAAAAAATCAATTATTTGTATAATTATATATTTTTCCTTTCAAAGTGAAAATTATGTAGATTTCAATAAAATTCGAATAAAACTATAACCAAAATTATTATCAAAATAGGATTGCTCAAGTTTAAAAGCATTTTACCTGATTAAATGCCAATGGAACATCCGTCAAATCCGCAACTCCTTGTTCCTTCTATCCGATCAATGTTCAAATATCAATTATATCATATTATTGTACATGAAAGTGGTTTGATGTAAAAACAAAAATAATATATAACTATAAAATTTTCCTTTCAAATTGAAAATAATTTAGACTTCATTAAAATTCAGATAGACTATATAACCAAAATTATTATTAAAATAGGATTGCTAAGGTTAAAAGCATTTTACCTGATCAAATGGCAATGGAACATCAGTCAAAGCCGCAAGACCTTGTTCCTCCTATGTAACCAATGTTCAAATATCAATTATTTGTCATATTATTGTACACGATAGTGGTTTGTTAAAAAAATATATATATATCAATTATTTGGATAATTATATTCTTCCTTTCTTTCGAAAATTATCTAAAATTCAATCAAATTCAAAACAAAGCTATAACCAAAATAAATTTTACTAAAATAGGATTGTAAAGGTTTAAGAACATTTACCTCATCAAATGTAAGTAAAACATCCGTCAAATTTGCATCACCTTGTTCCTCCTATGCAATAAATGTTCAAATATTAATTATTTGTAATATCAAGTAATTTATTGTAAAAATATATAGATATTTATAGTTACCTGATTCATAGTGTTCACGTCGGAAGCAGGAAAATTCAATTCTGAATTAGCAGCAAAAGAGTTTAATATTTTTTCCGAAAAGTTGTTCACCTAAATCATATAGTACATATGATTAATAAATTTCTATCCATATATATATATATATATATATATATTACACATGAATATACATGTAATATAAATCTGACTTACGTTATTAATGCTCAAATAATTAATATCCTCAAGAGAATGAGTAGCAAGAATTGAATGTTCAAATATCAATTATGTCATATCATTGTGCACGAAAGTGGTTTGATTTAAAAATAAAAAATCAATTATTTGTATAATTATATATTTTTCCTTTCAAAGTGAAAATTATGTTGATTTCAATAAAATTCGAATAAAACTATAACCAAAATTATTATCAATATAGGATTGCTCAAGTTTAAAAGGATTTTACCTGATTAAATGCCAATGGAACATCCGTCAAATCCGCAACTCCTTGTTCCTTCTATCCGATCAACGTTCAAATATCAATTATGTCATATTATTGTACACGAAAGTGGTTTGATGTAAAAACAAAAATAATATATAACTATAAACTTTTCCTTTCAAATTGAAAATAATTTAGACTTCATTAAAATTCAGATAGAACTATATAACCAAAATTATTATTAAAATATGATTGCTAAGGTTAAAAGCTTTTTACCTGATCAAATGGCAATGGAACATCAGTCAAAGCCGCAAGACCTTGTTCCTCCTATGTAACCAATGTTCAAATATCAATTATTTGTCATATTATTGTACACGAAAGTGGTTTGATAAAAAAAATATATATATCAGTTATTTGGATAATTATATTCTTCTTTTCTTTCGAAAATTATCTAAAATTCAATCAAATTCAAAACAAAGCTATAACCAAAATAAATTTTACTAAAATAGGATTGTAAAAGTTTAAGAACATTTACCTCATCAAATGTAAGTAAAACATCCGTCAAATTTGCATCACATTGTTCTTCCTATGCAATAAATGTTCAAATATTAATTATTTGTTATATCAAGTAATTTAGTGTAAAAATATATAGATATTTATAGTTACCTGATTCATAGTGTTCACGTCGAGAGCAGGAAAATTCATTTCTGAATTAGCAGCAAAAGAGTTTAATGTTTTTTCCGAATAGTTGTTCACCTAAATCATATAGTACATATGATTAATAAATTTTCTATCCATATATATATACATTACACATGAATATACATGTAATATAAATCTGACTTACGTTATTAATGCACAAATAATTAATATCCTCAAGAGAATGAGTAGCAAGAATTGAATTCCTATTAAGTTGATTATCATTGGCAAATTCACGATTTTCACCACTCAACACTTGACCTTGATGCTGCTCAAATTATCACATATACATCACAACACTAGATTCATATATGTAAAAGATAATAAAAACTATTTAATGTAAAAATAAATAGATATTTATGTTACCTGATTTATAATGTTCATGTCATGAGTAGGAAAAAGCATTTCCAAATTAGCAGCAATAGAATTCAATGTTTCCTCATTAGAGCTTTCCTTCACCTAAATCATAGATTATGTATATATGATGAAGAAACTATTCATATAGATAGATATATATGTGCAAAAAATTATTTATGCTATTAAAAGAACGTAAAATAAAAATGACTTACGTTATTAATGCTCAAATTATTAATGTCCTCAGTAGAACAAGCAGCAAGCATTGCATTTTTTTCCAGTTGATCATGGTTGGCAAATTGAAAATTTGTATCACTCACTTGACCTTGATGCTACTCAAATTATCACATATAAATCACAACATTAGCTTCAATATGAAAAAATAATATAAAAGGATGAATATAATTAATTAATATCGGTTATAAGTTAATTTACCTGATATTGAAGAAAATTGGAATTGCCAGAAAATGGGTTGATGCTCTGATGATCATTGTACAAGCTTAGATTCTCTAGTACAGGAACCAACTCATCCGTTTGCGCATTTAAATGACTCAGTGACTGCTCTTCATTGAACAATGATAATGGAGAAGAAAACCTCGAATTTGAACTTCCATAATTACTCATGTTGTTTTCATCGAAATTCCAGTTTATGGTACCCGAATTTTGACCAAGAGAGACATTACCATCACCATAAACTCTTGCTCCACCAAGTCCACCCAGATTTCCAATTTGATCAGTATTGATACCAGTGTAGTTATTATGCATATAACCAGTACCAAAACCAGGGTTCATACCGATAACATCATTTGTTATACCATACTGTCCAAATGAAGGAACTTGAGGCGCTTGAGATGTATCAAAGATGCTTCTAGGTAGCAGATCATCCGTTTGTGCAGTGAAATTGTGATGTGGTTGAACCTTGTTGTGTAAGAACCTCGAAGTTGAACTCCCATGGTTCCTCACATTGTTGTTATAGAGATTCCAGTTCATGGCGTCCAGACTTTCACCAAGATATCCATTGTCATTACCACTAACTCTTTCTCCACCAAGTCCAGACAGATGACCATATTTATCTATACTTATCCCAGCGTAACTATTACGCGTATAACCAGTATCAAGATTAGAGTTCATACCCGAAATATCGCTTGGTGTACCATATTGTCCAAATGAAGGAACTTGAGACATTTGAGATGTTCCAAAAACGCTTCTCCATTCCTCATTTAAAGGCAACACGCTTCTGCTTTCCTCATTTAAAGGCAACACGCCCCTCGAAAATCCGAGGCTTTCTCCCATAGGCAACAAGTTAGATCCGTTTTGGCTCAAATCATAGGTGGGTCCATCGTGCATGGAGTAGATAGAGTCATTGTTGTTCAAAAGGATGCTAGGTTGACCAGGACCATCACCAAGTTGGGCCTTAAACAAATTTTCCTTGCTTAGACCTCTGACGTACTTATACGAAAGTTGTGGGTTGATGTTGCTAGATGATGCAACGTTGGATTTCATAGCTTTTTTTGCCATGTTGACTTCTTTGGCTCTTTCCTTAACCTTTCTCATGTGTTTCCTATACTTCTGTGTAACGTCAACAATTCCAACATTAATCATATATATTATCTTGATGTAAGATATTTAATCCAACAATAGCATTGTTTATGTGCTTTGAAATACGATATATTTATATAAGATCAAACCTGTAAATGGCTGGCTATTTGTGATCTTGATATGCCATCCACATTCATGTATTGTAGAATAGTTTTGGGCACAGCTTCTTCAAAATGATATAAAAAATAAATAAAAAGATAAAGCATTAGTGTGTGTGTAATGCTTTGATAAATGCAAGTAAAAAGATTGTAAAGAGATTTCGACCGAATGATCCTAAATTTCTTAGGGGAGATATTCTATTGTATTTTATCTACTTTGCAAATGAATTCAAAGGTAAGAATCAAAAAACAGTAAATGATGAATAAAACAGTTTATTAGAAGATTTGCCATCTATTGTTTTTCAAACATGTAATCTACAAAATCTAATCGTAAATTTATTGACGCATAGTACGTCAGCCCTAACTCACATAATATCGACATTTATTAGTAATCTTTTGGTTTAAATATTTTTAACTAACGCATATCATTATTTTTCTCTTCAAAATCTTGGTTAACTTGCTTACTTTTAAAAATTATTAATATTTTTATAGCTTTTAATAAATTAGGGCTGACGTATTGCGTAATACGTCAGCCCTAACTTACGATGTATTGTATTGTTTAATATCGGTAAAGTAAAATTGTATTTCATAGTAAAAATTAGTTTTGATACTTTGGTTGACAATTTTATTGTCACAATTGGCATATTACTCGGCCAGTTAATAAATAAAATAAATAAGAGAATCAACTAAAATTTTACTGACCGCATCAACGTATATCAACTTATGAAACTATGATACTATATCAACGTATCATAGATTTGCAAAAGTGATACAAAATTAAAATTTTTATGGTCACTCAATACTTAATAAACATAGAGCCTAATTAAAAAGAATATTTAGAGACTAATATCTTTTGCAAGTAAGACTTATTTGAAATGAACACGAACAATTAAAAGAATCAGCCAAAGATATATTGATCGAGTAATACCAACCAAAGGATCAAAATCGATCTACACTATAGACTTTAATTCTACATTCTGGTGTTAAACAATGCAATAACGATATATCATTTATCGTAATTGATGTTTAATCATATGATTACTGTATCTTAATTATTAGATAATTTTAACTAGCATCAGTACGTTTGTATAGACACTAAAAAACTGATAGCATGTTCCTTTGATTGTACTTGTAGTGGTAAGAGAAGATAACTTTTAATACTTACTAGCAACACCAAGGTTTTTAAGGGCTCTCATGAATCTAGACTGAAGAGGTTTTGTCCATTTGAGCTTAGGCTTCTCTCGAAGCCGTAGCCAATGTTTTCCATCATCTGAATCGTTGGTTGATGGTCTCTTCCCATTTTGTTTCGAACCATTTGGATCGGTTTCTCCTATATAGAGTCGGATTGTATAGAGACAACATAGTTTTACATTAGTGCAAGAATAATTAAGGAGAAATCTTTATTGGTCACATAATCATCGTATGTATCAATGGATATTATTACCGTTCATTTTATGGCGGAGAGCTTGTTCACATACAACGTTGAGGTCACGATGTGAGATTGGTTGACGCATGAAACAAAGAGCTCCGCAGGACAACGCCTCGCGTGCTCTATGTTCCTGTCCAAATCTGCTGATATCACTGTTACAATCATTCAAAACAAACATAAAACAAATCGAAATGAAACCATCGTTAGCATCATCTAAGAATCTTAGAATAACATTGCATTAAGAAATCTTTCGTTTTTATGTTTCTAGTGTTTTTTTCTTCTACGACACTGACCTCAGATTCTTCTTGCTTGAGTACTCAAGTTTTCTCCGCTAATCTTTTCTTATCTCATTTTATCTATGTGAGTGACAATTATACTCTAGAGTAACAACTGCTTAGCTGTACTTTTTAATTATCATCTAAAAACAGAAAATAAAATGAGAAATTTTTATTCCTTTTAAGGTATTACCCGTTTTATTATAGCAGAACAACTTTGTATAGGAAAAAAACGAATTCTCATTTTTTGTGCTAGGCAAATATTTGCTAATATTTTAAAAAGACAGGTCATTTTTAACTAATACGCTTTAATAATAAATATTTAAAATTAATTACAAGAAAAATTTACTCGATTTCTGTGTCAACACTCATTACTCTCCTTTTTTATAATATTAATTAAAAAAATAACGATGACCAATAGTTATCCTGTTTAACTGTCACCACCCATCACTTATCCTGTTATATAGAAAATTTTCTTTTACCTAGTATGATGTTTTGAATTAATTTTTTAAAAGGTAAAGAAGAATAAGTAATTTAGCAAATAAGTGGAAAAAAACGAACATACCAATAACTGGTAAATTCCCAAATTCTTCAGCAATTCTCTGTTTTAGCTGAACACCATTCAATTTCAAACCAGGCATATGGTAATCGGTGATTACAACATCTATTTTGTTGAATTGACCTCTAAGTGCAGTTACTGCTGCTGACGAATCTTTTGCTGTCATTGCTTTGAGTCTTTGACTTCCCCAAATGATTTATCTATAAATTAAAACAATATATATATATATATATATATTGGTCAACAAAATAAACCATAGTACTATATAATATAGAAATTTGTGGTTTAGGCAGACCCGGCTTATGGCTCATAATAAGAAATGTCAATTTGTACTCTGAATATTCTTGAAAAAGTCATTGATTTTCTTAAAAAGAAAATCAATATTTTTTCTTGAAAAAAACCATTATATTTTCTTGAAAAAAACATTTTATTTTCTTTTAAAAACCTTTTTTCTACACAAAAGACCAATATTAATTCTTCTGAATATAGTATTTGTTAGAAATAATTAGAAAAAAAACAAGATTTACTTTTTCAAAGCTATTTGGAACCTCTAAAATGTCATATTCGACTTTGGATGTATATACATATATATATATATATAAACATTTGAAATAGTCAAGGATTGTAAGATTTTTTTCTTTTTTTTTTTTATCAAAGCTATTTTCATAAGACAACAATGAAGTTTTGCTTCTGATTCCAAGAGGTAGCTAGTCGGTAGATCCGAACACAATTTTTTAAAAAGACATTAATTAGAGCAAAGTTTATGATGGTTATATATATATATATATATATATATATATATATATATATATATATATCAGTCAATAATAATATTGTTTGCTTGATATTATCAATTTATGTTTATGTTATTATTGTTATAGTGTAATTAGGTATTTGTATAAGGACCATAAACTAATGAACTCCTACATCCAAAAACAAAATTAAACAAATAACTCGATAACCTAACCTAGCTTTATCCCTGCAAACATATAAGAATATCATGTGAAATCATTACACATATTTGAGATATTAAATGAAAAATTAGATATGTGCTTGTTATTGAAACGTTGATTGTGTGTCAGGAAATTATGAAAATATCAAATAGATTTTACAAGAAAGCAGGCGTTCGTAAAACATGCATAAAAAGCCAAAAAAATAAAATATATATATGTATGTAAGTAAAAGTGTAAAACCAACAAAACCAAAGTAATAGTAAGAGTTGATGTAGTTGGTATGCAAATATTGGGTATAGTAAAAAAAAAAAAAAAAAAATTGGGTATAGTAAAAGTTATTTACTATGATTATCTTTAAATATATTCATCAAAACGAAGTAAGGGAAGGAAAAAACAGATAAATAGAACATTTTTTACATTGAGAAAAATGAAAACTGAAACCGATTTTTGAGTCAAAAGGGCGGGAAAATGAAACTGGTGATCCTAAAAGGTCGTTCCTCTCGACGGTAAAACTCTCCGGCCAACAAGCTTGAGAGCAAAAAAAAAAACCAACAACAAAAAAAAAAACATGAAACAGAGAGAGGAAGACCCCAAAAAGCGAAGCAGATTCACCACAGAAGAACCAAAAACATTGCTTCTTCTGCGAAAACACGCCTAAAACAACTTCTGAACACCGGAGAAACTCGCCGGAAAAATATAGATAAAGAGACTTTTGTATCATTTTCCATCACTTGGATTTCTTGAGATTAACGGTGGTTCTGAAAACTGCGTCATCGCAGACAAAACTCCACCAAAGGTAAGAAAGAGGAATCCCTGCGCCGCGCCAAAGAGCATGAGCATCGATGTAGCCTTTGTACGAAGGGAAATCGAGCATTCTAAGACACAATGTGAGTACGCTCAAGATGAAGAAAGCTCTTAGCTTCCACTTCGATGGATGAGACGTTAAAGCCGCCCATAATCCCCACACTACTAGCTCTATTCCTCCAATCCCGAACATAACTTTCCAGTGAAGCCCTGTAAAATTATTAAGTAAGAGAGATGAATTTGAAGAAACCCTAAAGAAATTATCCAGTTTCGTTTCATAATGTAGAGTATTATCCCTAAAGAATCATACCTTCATCGAGGTTATAGAAATTTAGGTAGAGAATATGAGTTGCAACAACCGCAAGAATAGGTGCAGTAACCATGATTTTGACAGATTGATCTTGAATACTGAAAGACCGAAGTATTGCTAGAATAAGCGAAAATCCGGCTAATACAGTAGCTGAAGAGTAATCTAGCCTCACCGTCAATTCAACATCTCTAAATAACATAGTTCAAAGCAAAAGAGATATAAGTGAGAATTTTTTGACGAATAATGACAATCGTGGTATAGAAATTGGAATGTTACCTGCTATGACAAATACTACTCCAGAAGAGTGAATTCAATACGATGATGGCATAGATATGCACTAATCCGTTGTACTCGTAGTACGTTTTCCGATTTGGCTGGAGAGGCAGTTTATAGTAAACGAGGATGAAATATGAGACCCATCCTTGGAATTGCATCGCAAGGTCGAGAGCAGAGAAAGCAACAGAGACAGGTTCCTGAAAATATACATACATATGAGGAACAATCCTTGAGAAGAACACCAGTGTTTCTTAAAGCTGAGACTCGCAGAGATATACAGCATTGCAAAGAGTAGATTACCTGAATTCCGTAGACATGTTTGAGTGGCCATTTACCAAAATACTTGGTAGGTCTTTCTCCGTTTCTTTTTCTTTCTTCTTCTCTTGTCATCATGCATTCGTACTCACAGTCACTTTGGCAATCCCATTGTTTCCATCTCAGGTAAAGTGGCTCTTGCATGTACCACGGACCGTCAATGGCTTTTCCATCAGCTGAAAATTTACAGTGTTGGAAGCAAGTATCCCCCACGCATCCAGTTTTCTGACATTGATCAACACATGACCTGGAAACCAATTAGCATATTAACACTAGTCTGTTCTTAAACTGAGAAAAAGCCAGAAGGGATAGAACAGCCTATTGATCGCAACCGAGAATACACTAACAACAAAACTTTAACAAAGGTTATCAGCAGACAGAGTGATCTTAGTCACTACCATCCAACTAAACCATTGCCAATATATTTAGCATTAACCTACAACAACCAAAAGACCTTATTACAACAAACCCCGTCTTTTAGGCAACATCAACCGGTCTAGCTCAATTGTATTGTAGTAAGAGTGCCTTGAAACCAATTTCTGATCTTTTTCTTTTCTTACCATGTTCTAATTAGGCTTAAGACAGATTAAGCTGTGTAGATGGCCTACTACAAAGCAAACAACAGAGAGAAAGACATGCTTCCACCCAACAAAAAAAGGAACACCAAACTCCTCAAAACCACTTGCAGCACAAGTCCCTATCTAGTTTTTCGCCTTTATAATCTTTCCAACAAAAGCAATGACCCTACTACACTGATAATGAAGGGCTTGTGGAAACACACACAAAGATCTCATCTCTAACGTGTCTCAACTCTCACCACACAAACTCTAAAGAAATTTATTTGGAAAGTTCTAAGCTCACACTTGAGTCTTCCCCACCACCTCCTAATCACTCCATAGTTTGTGGCTCTAAATTTCCACCAAAACTGTGAAACTCAATCCATACCTTACAAGAAAAATCTGAACTTGTATCCTAAAACAGAAAGATGATTAAAGCTAAACACAGAATTTAACAATTGAAATAACTGCCAAGTTGTGCAATCAATGAATCTAACGGTCGACTCTCACAGTAAATCAAAAGCTAGCCACGCATTTATAATGTCTAGAAAGCTAATTAAGATAGAAAAGTTTGTATTTTTACTTCTCCAACGTTATCTCAGATATGAATAGACCAGAGAAGAGTCCTGAATTGGAAAAAATCGATCTAAGAAAAGGAGAAAGGAGAAGACTTTTACTTGTAAAGAGGATCAGAATCTCCATCACTAGCTTCAAGTGTTGAAACAAGACACGAGACCACAACAATAAGCAGAACCCATGGCAGATTTCGCGCCATCCGATTACCAAAAACGGGAGAAAGAAGAAAGAGAGAGAGTAGACAAGTATAAGAGAGGAAAGGAAGAAGCTTTATTCTAGTAGAGGGCAGAGTAAGTCGGTGGGTGATCGGAGAAATTGAATGGGTTTGGCAGTTTCTTCTTGTCCATCAAATCGCAGAGACAGGTGGATGCATAGAGCCAGAGAGAGAGAGAGAGAGAAAAGAGAAAAGAGAAGAGAGAGATCTCGCTGCGGGAAAAGAGAGAGAGAGAGAGAAATCCCGTGAGGGTGAGAGAAGGAAGAAGAGGAGAAGCGCGTGGAGGAGTTAGTAGTGGTCACAGACGTCGATTAACCTCGACTTCTTCTTCTTCTTCTTCCGTCACTTTTTGTTTTATTATTTTCATCAACTAGACTTTTTCCCTTTTTTTCATTATTTTTTCACATATTTTAATCATATGGTCAGCTAGAGGAATTTTTTTTTATCAAATGGTTCGTCTCACACCAAAACTTTTAGCATTACTACCGTTAAAACATCTTTTTAGGTTGTTGATAGTTTAAATAACTAGTTTTATCTTACCATTTTTATACTTTTAAGTAATATTTCTAATACATAGTTTCATGACCCAAACTTTTGAATCCCCAAAAGTTTGACTAGTCGTTCAATCGTGTTAGTTTTCTAGGCACCATGAGGCATGAGTTACACTGAGCTTGTATGCCTCTCTTGTATACGACACATGGAAGGAAACTAGTCGACCAAGTCATATTTCTTAACATTATGTCATATCAACCTAAATCATTTGTAGTCAACTATCTAATGCTCCTTAGCCAATGAAAGTCTATAAAAACCATTTTATTTCACATGAAGATAGGAATGGATATTTTGAATCTAATTTTTTATTTTTTTTTATCTAACTCAGTCATAGTATTTATTTATAATCTTCGAATATTTGTTCAATCCTTTGATCATCTAACCAATATCATTTATCAATTTTTATAAACATTTCAACTTTTTTCCGAACGAATAACTTTTCACCATTTCTCTTTTTGCTCACAAAACAACAGAAACCCCTAGTTATTTGGTCACTTTAGACATACTCTAAATGAGAAAAGTAGTTTATCTTCCAAAAATCTTAGGAAATAGTCTGGCTTTGGGTTTAGATAATTTTAGTTTACGTGAAAACAAATAAATACGTGCTTTGGACGAATACATGACAACACGATGATTCCACAGCCTCACGTTCAACTCCTGCGCGTGTGAAAAAGAAAGCGAACTTGTCCCCGAAATTTTTGGAGGAAAATTCCTTTTGATTTAACTGTTTTCATTTCGTAATTATTAATGTTATAGTTATCGGTCCTAAAACTACACCATTCCCCGCCAAACTAAACAATGAATAAAAAAAAAGTCAAAACAAATTTAGATATGAAGTTGCGATCAATCAATTATCTTTAAGCATCATCGAGTGATACGATACGACACACACACAAAATCATTATTATCATTGTTATTAATAACAATCCTAGAACTAGAAGAGACGAAATCTTTTTTGAAACGTTAGTGAAAAAGAAGATCAAACATGATATTATGTTGCACGTGGTAATTAGTGTTTGCCAGAGTTTTGTAGACTTGTGAGGTACGAGGAAGATTTTATTCCATTTTCCGAAACTCGTATCTTCTTCTCTTAACGAAATTTACATAATTTCTTTTTCCTATTTTCCAACCAATTTATATAAAACTATTTGAACAAGTGTATGTAACGTAATCCCCTTTGTGTGCATAAATAAAACACGGCAAACACATTGATTGGAACCTTAGCTTACATTATCTGTGATGATGCTTTTCTATGATAAGAAAACGTGACAAGATAAGCTGACATTTAGAGATATGTAATATTTAGAGTTTAAAGTTTTATTTTTCTTCAAAATACTACACCCAAAAAAAAAAAAAACCTATAGTATATATCTTATTGGAGCATATAAAAAAAGTCTCTTTCTTCGCAAGTCATCAACAGTATTCAATCAATTCTCCAACAAAAAAATCATAAAGTTACAACGTCGGTCAAATAAATCATTAAACTATATAAATTTCGTAATCACATTGCAGAAACAAACAAGTTTTAAGATATGTGTCAATTCGCATTTACTTCTTCAAGCTGTAATTTGTTTGGCCATGCCGCCATGCTCACCACCCATTATCTCATCTTTTGTTTAAGGCCACCCATTACATTTTCTTTATATTCAATTCAAATATTCCACAGTCATCTAAAGACTTTTTTTAAAATAACAAATAGTAATTAATCACTTTTATACTTATAAACTCAAATATTTATGCTTTATCATTAAGATTCAAGATTGATTATCAGAGACTGAAATAATAGCTTGTAGATCGGCGAGACACTCCGCCGGAAGAGAGAGGAACGTGTTCATAAACAAATCGTCGACGGTCTCAACTTTCGCGACGCCGACGAGTCTACACTTTCCTTCTCCGTCCATTCTCTCTCCTTTCCCTCTCTTTGTCACTCCTATCGATTCCTCCGTCGTCAACACAGTTTTCACCACCAACGCCGGAGCTCTGTATATCCCTCCTCCCGCCGTGAAAAAGAACTTAGCCATGAACTCTAATTCCACCTAACAAATTCAATCAAACCCCATGTCAAAGAAATCGAACTAAAAACAGAGGATTTACGGAAAAAAAAGATTACAAGAATTAGAAAAAAAAACAGAGGATTTATGAACTTTTTACCTTCCCGGATTCTTGGTCGATAGTTCCTTGGAAAATCTCCGGTGAGATATCGATTCTTAGAAACGGTGGCAATGGAAAGCCGAGAAACTTCGTGGTCTGGCTAGTCAGAGAAGGAATATACAGAGTGGCCACATTGAAACAAACAGATAATTCAGAGTTCGATGCTCTGTTTTTGTCGTCGATTTTCTTGGCGGTTCCGGCACCGGAGCCACCTTGAGGAGAGTATTCGAAATCGGGATATCTGGAGATGCCAAGCTTACCTAATCCAATAGTCTTGAAGCTGACACTGTAGAGATTATTGGGAAGCTGTGTTGTGGTGGGTTTTGGGTTTAGGGAATTTGAAATTAGTTTGATTTGGTTTTGGGATTTGTGGTTAATGTATCTTGTTGGGGATTTGTAAATTGTTGTTAATGGGTTTATTTTTGTTGAAACCATGTTTCTCACTATTAACAATTTTTTTGATGTTTTTTGGTTGTTTGAAACTTTGAATCATATTTGATTGAGAAAGCATAAATCTTATCGCATTTTTTGTGTGGCTAGTTTCTAGTGTTTATCCTTCACCTTCCGATTCTACATTCGAATATGGGCTCAAATATAGAGATTCTGGGTCAATTACATTTCACTCATTTTTGGGCTAGATATCTCTCATGTTGGTGGGTCGTGGACTCGTGGGTCGGCTAGACAAAAATCATAAAATAAAACTTGTTACAAATGGACATATGGTTGAAATGTAACTTTGTAAGTTGGTAACTAAAAGTCTAAAAGTTTTGGTTGATGTCAAAGAAAGAAGTTTTTTCTTCTAAATAAACTACTATTTGCTGGAAATTAGTCGTGTGGATAATTTAGAAAAATGAATTTGGATATGTGAGATATCAAAGATAGAAAAATGTAACAAACAAAGATAGAAAATCAAGTAGCTGTGTGAATTTGTGATATTAAAAGTTTGAATAGTTAATTTCCTAAAATATTGTTATAACGTTGCGTTTGTGCCACAAACACCTTGACAACACCAAACGGAAGACATGGCCAAAAGCCCCCATTTGTTTAGGTCATGCAAAACATGTTTTCAAGTGAGTCTCTCTCCACTATCCAAGTATCCACTTAAACTTAAACACCCAGTCATGCTTCATGAGATAACACACTAAGATATTGTTCATAATGACGCATAAGAACAGACAATACATGTGTAAAACTATATTAATCAAATTAACCATCCTATAATATCTAAAATCTTCTCCTGAATATTCGAAATTTATATTTGGAACTTGCATAGCCAATTACCGAGAACTTGCATAGAAATGGACTGGTTCTGGATATCGAGGAAGATTATGGGCCAAGGGCGGAAATTGGTTCAACGGGAAAAAGAAACTTGGATAGCCAATATTACATGAGAGTTGAATATGTCCTGGCAACAAAATAATTTGGCCCACGAGACATACAGGCTTTGGTCCGAACTTGGTGATAACAAAAACAAAATTATTGACTTGTATGATTGTTCCTGTTATTTATCCAAACTAACTTGTATGATTGTGTCATTCAAATTTGCAACTCTCAGAAACACCAAAATGTATAGTAATGAAATCCAAAATAAAGGATGGTTGGAAACTATATAAACTTCTCTAAATCTCTAAAAAAAAAGGAACCACAACCATCTAAAAAAATATTGTTGACAATTATTGCTACTTCTGTAACGTTTCGTGCTCAAATATGTGCATAGGAAACACTTAATGGATGCGTATAATAAGAAGCAAGACTTTAGGCCGTTATGGAACATATAAACCTATATAATTGGGACTGCTTTTTTAGAATGTGGACCGATCTGACTTTGTCAAATTTCATTTTAACCGTTGGTCCTCCTTTCGCTTACTCATTTTCCGCACGCCATTAACGATAAAGATTCCCATTACTTTTTCGTCGTCAGATTTGTCCAATCTCAGCCATATACCTTTAATAACATCAGCACGATGTACTAATCTAGTATCTAACTAAAAGGAAAATCATAAAAAGAGAAGACGTAATATTTTTTTTAATAATAATTAAAGTACATTTCGTCGGTTAGATGAACCAGATACACCATCTGCTACCTATATATTTGGCTAGATGTTTCTTTTTCACTTTTTATTTTGTAAGGTTTTTGTAACGTACTTCTTACGTTATTGCTGAAATAGAATCGAGATTAGGAATGAAAGACTTTGCTACGCATTTATCACTATGTGGAAATTTAATTAGATGCTTATAGGAGAAATACATCTTTCTTCAAACTTATCAAAACGTTTAGCCTGCTTGGTTTGCTCACCCATCTTCAATGATTCATAATATAATTTTAAATGTAATATACAAAACAAAAATAGCTAGTTGAACAATTTCAATCAATTATATAAATTCTAAACTCATCGACTTGCATCAAATGTTATGACTGGTTTGGTATATACACGACAGGACAACCGATACGATGACAATTTCTTCGATTTTTTTTATCCTAAATATATGAATAATAGAATCAATCGATAACACGTTGACAAAAAACAAAAATGATAACACTATTGGACCACTTTTTAAGTTTTTAGAATGAATTGAGAATTTTGTAATTTGAGAAATTTAAAAGTCAGAGGTTAATTAAGTAATTAGAAAAACGGTAGTTGGAACGTAGGCTTTTGTGGAACTAATAACTTACGTGTCTTTAAATGGCGGCTACTTTGGAAGGCTACGTTTCTTTTAACCTCATTCTCCATTTTCCTTTGATAATACGATATCTTTTTAAAAAAATAAAAATGATCCGATTAACCACGCATACATATTTAGCATAATTAATTTTATTTTTTTTTCCATTAGTTGCCTTATGTTGAAACCTCACTTCGGAGGAAAGAACCCCGGCTAAGGTAAGAGTAAGACCACCCTGCCCAATTAGCTTCCGGCGATTTTTGAAAAACAATTCAAAACTACACTCAGAATTATACAATTTTATATCCCAATAGGTTATAATACTTATACACCAAAACTACAATTTAAATTAAAATTCCAAACTATAAAATAGTTTATAATACTTCTACTGGTTAAGTAAGATATTGGAAAAAAAAAAAAAAAAAAAAGTGGGTTGAGCCCTCTCTCTCTTCTCTCTTCCATATTTTCTAGAGAGAGAGAGTTGGCTGCCGTTCCTTACCCGCCGTCTGGAATTCTCCGGCAAGGCCGTCCAGTTAGTTCAACTGGCTTCAGCCCGACATCCATCGGCTTCTTATGCGGAGATGGTCGGCTTTTGTCCAGCAAATCCGGCTTCCATAAGTGGTTTTGGCTGGTTTTTTATTTTCTTCCGCCGTGAATCGGTTTCATGCCGATTTCTTTAGTCTGTTTAGTTTATCTTTTAATAATCTCTCTGGATCTATGTTTGGTGGTGCCAATCCGGCGATTTCTCGATCAACGGTGGTCTTCTCCGACTAGCTCCTTGAGTTTTGCTTTGTTTTATGTCTCCGGTTGTTTCCAGTGGGATTATGCCATATCTGATCCGGCCAGATCGGGTGGATTTGCTGCTTTCTCTCTCGGATGTTCTCAAACCGGTTTTCAGATCTGTGGTTTACAACAAATCTTCATCGGTGATTACGTTCAAAGTCATGAAAAGAAGACTTGTTTCCAGCATATGAAGATTGCCTGTAGCCGTTTCTACATGTAATTGAAGCTTCGATCAAGCGAATTTCTGTGGATCAATCTAATTTCTCCTTTCTTGCTTTCGCCGGATTTCAGTGTTTGGTGATTTGATAAGTTGATGAGGTTGAAATCTCTGTTATTGTATCCCTTCTCTCTGTTTATGCAGTTTCCGGTGAGAAACAACAAAAAATCGATGTTTTACCATTTTCCGGCGTCGATTGAGTTCACCGGAATCGGAGTAATTGACGGCAAAGGATGATGGAAAGTTTCCACGATTTTCTTGCAACACGTTTCATCTACGTATCTGTGTGTTTGACACGTGTATTGAGCAAGATTTTATCTTTCTTTTAAATGATGTATGTAATCATTTGGGCCTTTAATGGGTTGTAACTTTTGTGATGTGGATTAAAATAAACAAAATCTTTAGTGAAAAAAAAAGTAAGATATTGGAATATAAAATATTATAACTCGGTGAATTTTGAAAAACTTAATAGTGCTTTCAAAAAAATATCTAAAATTAATATATATATATATATATATATATATATATATATTTTAATATCTTAACCAGTACTAAAAGAGAAGTTCATAGATTTTCTCAGAAAAACTTTATTGATATAATAAAAACAGTACATGTCATATCTACGAGTACGACTCTACCATTCATTATTTTCACTTGTTATTATATTTATAGTTTTTAATATTTAATATATCTTTTTCCTTTTTTGGTAAAAAGAATTGGCAGAAAAATAATCACAAATTAATATTAAAATTATTTATTTTCTATTGCCAATTTTATATGAAATTATTTCCTATCGACGTTTCCATATCTCTATTTTTACTTTTCCAAATTTAACTATTATTGTATTTTCTTATTATTTTAGAAAATTGCTACTACTATTTAATTACGCTACAGGTCATAAGCTGTTTCGTAAAAAAAAAAATACACCAATATTTTTTTGTAATTTTAGATGATGGCATACATTTTTATCTAGTTATTTTTTAGCAAAAGATTGATATAGAGATATTCCACACAAAATAAAAATAAATTCATGAAAGAGAAAAATAAAATTTAAAATAGTCAGTGATAAGGATGATATACGTATATGACTTGGAGAAAGTGCCAAAATCTTCCCTTTAGTGAGTCATAACCGTTGACCTGCACCACAAGGCACAAGAGACCAAGTCTCTAATAACCCAACCAACACAACACAAAAGACCAAAACACCCTCAGCTCTCTTGCCATATAAAACCCTCTCGTGCGACGCATGTCAAATAAACCTAATTTATATTCATCCTCAGAAAGAGAGAGAAATTCGAAGAGTTTTTATAAATTAAAAGGCATGAGAGGTTCAAGAGCAGGTTCTTCAGACATGAGTGCTTGGTGTTCTGCTGTTGTGTTATTATCTTTAATACTTTTGTTATCTGTTCGTGAGAACAACGCTTCTAATTCGATTAGAGGGTCTCAATTCTCAACGAAACCTTGTGAGGAGATTTACGTCGTCGGAGAAGGAGAGACACTCCACACCATCGGCGATAAGTGCGGCGACCCGTTTATCGTGGAGCGAAACCCGCATATCCATGATCCGGATGATGTCTTTCCAGGTCTTGTTCTCAAGATCGCACCTTTTTACTTCTCCAGAAAATTGTAAGACATATAACAAAAACGTTTTTTTTTTTTTCTTTTTTAATTTTGTTTGAAGCATACTTTATCTAAGTATGTATGTATATATATATATAGTTATACTAAAGGATTCCAAAATAAATACAGAGATTTTAAAGAAACAGAGCAAAAACAGAGTTGTATACCGTGAGTTGCTTATTCATGTGTTTGAGGACTTACATGTTTATTTAGAAACGTTTTAGGTATATATGGTAATTATCTGTAAGTTTCGGCCTTTGGGTTGGAAAATTTGATAAAACAAAATTTGTAGCTGATTAATGCAATAACGAAACGCCAAGTTAGAAAAAGGTCAACGATTTTTGTATTACCGCAAATTTCACAACACCAGTGACAAAATAATATTAAAGGAGTCATGTTATTTTACAAATAAAGCTTTCGTCGTTTAATAGTTATTTGATGAATTGTTGTGCTACATTCAATGACACGTGAATTCAAGCTTTGAAATTCGTGGATGGAAAATATGAATTTAATTGATATACGAATTTCTTACGACTGACAATATACTCTAATTGGCCAAGAACAAAAGTGCCGCATGGTTTGTTTCTCTTTGCTATAATCCAAATAAGGGTTTAAGCAAAAACCTGAAGCAACGTTTTCTTAATTCATGCTCAAATTGCCCATTCCCAATCCATATCAGTTTGACTACTTTCAAACCTTACAACATTAGAAACAAGAAGTGGAAGACATATTTGATCTCATCTTGATTGTTGATAAAACTGATGAATTTAAAAACAAAGTCACTCTTTCTTGTTCACATAAATATATATTCTCAATTACAAAATCTCAACTTGATGTTACAAAAGACTCAAGTCTTTCTTCTTGAGTCAGCTTTAAGAATTGTGTTTCAGTCACTTACCTATATCCTCACAACGCTCTCTTTAGCAATGAAACCTTCATTCTTCCACATCTCCTAAGTTATCACAAGCTTTTCTTCCCATGATTGGAGCTTATAAAAGTCAAACCTTCTTCTTTTCCTCGCAATGCATACAACAACAGGTTTTACAAAAATGAAGCAAAACACAAATGAAGCCAATCATTGCACCTTTCACAACCATCATTTACTGCAACTGTTGAACCAACCGCCACGTCCAAACCAGTCTCTTCCTTCATTGGCACCATTTCCGCCACCAGATTCTTCTCTTTCCTTGATCTTTTGTCCCACTTCTCGAACTCATTTTTCTTCCCACCAATAACGTTCTCCAATGCTTTACGAGCTTGCTCCTGCAAAATTGTCTTTTGTTCGTTTCCTCGTTAGAGAGATAGAAATTAAAGTGTATACAGTTTGTAGTTCCTTAACAAACTATTTACTGTATATATCCAAAGAACCATAGATGAGGAAATGCACGGTGTGTGAGAAAGTATTTTAAAATCACTAATGGAATAATAAGTGATTTAAAACAAAAAAACTAAGTCTTCTAAAATCCCTAATCCAATACATCCCCCTAATTATAGACTCTCGTTTTTGCTTTCCCTTTTTCCCGTTTTGCAATAAGATCAATTTCCAAAAACTAATAAACTACACACTTAGACTAATTATGTCGTCATCTCCGAAAACCACAGTTCTAAGTTCAAAATCAAAATTTCCAAAATTAAAGTAAAACTAACATTATTACCGTGCATGTCGTCATTATTTTTTCTGGTTAAATAAAAGCATGTCGACATTACTCCCAAATATTTACACAATTCCATATATTTAGGATATGAACACTTAAGTACAACCTATCAAACAAAATTCAATATCTCCAAAACCTCTGGAAACAAGAATCTCTTATATATAAGAAACGTGAGTTGTTCACTGTTACAAACTCACAATCAAAGCCACAAAGGAAGAAGAAAAAAAAACAACCCTAACTTTTGTCAAAAGCAAACGATGATGAGTAGATTCCGAAAAACCCTAGTTTCGGCTTTCGTTCTCTACTTGGTTATTCTACCTCTTCTAGTCTCAGCGGCAGAGGAAGAAAACGAATGCGGCGGATCCAAGGGTGGCTCTGCTGCGGAGAAAGCATCGGCTCTTAAATACAAGATCATAGCTTTCTTTTCCATCTTATTCGCCGGAATATTTGGCGTTTGTTTACCTATTTTTGGCCTCAAGTCGGAGAGCAACTTCTTCATGTTCGTGAAGGCATTCGCTGCCGGCGTAATCCTAGCCACCGGTTTTGTCCACATTCTTCCCGATGCTACCGAGAGTCTCACGAGTCCGTGCCTTGGAGAAGAGCCACCGTGGGGGGATTTTCCGATGACGGGACTCATTGCTATGGCTGCATCGATCTTGACAATGTTGATTGAGTCCTTTGCTTCAGGGTATTTGAATAGATCTCGGTTGGAGAAGGAGGGTAAGACTTTGCCGGTGAGTACAGGCGGAGATAAGGAGGAACATGCTCATACTGGCTCTGCTCATACTCATGCCTCACAAGGACATTCTCATGGCTCTCTTCTTATTCCCCAAGATGATCACATTGATATGAGGAAGAAGATTGTAACTCAGGTACGTCACAAAAACCTAGTTGCCAAAATCCAAACCTCTTTTTTTTTTTTTTTTTTTTTTTTTTTTTGTTATAAGTACTTTTTCGAAAAGCTCTAATTGTAGACAAACCTAGTTGCTAATCACATGTTCTGTATTTTTCTTATGGTGTTTAGATATTGGAATTGGGGATTGTGGTTCACTCAGTGATAATAGGAATATCTCTAGGAGTTTCTCCAAGTGTAAGCACAATAAAGCCTCTCATAGCTGCAATTACCTTCCATCAATTGTTTGAAGGTTTTGGCCTTGGTGGTTGCATCTCTGAGGTAATCTTAATTAAAATCTTCTTTTCTTTCTTTCATATGATTGCTGTCGACTGAGAAATAAATTCTACTTTTGTGCAGGCAAAGTTTAAAGTAAAGAAAATTTGGGTTATGCTGATGTTCTTTGCACTCACAGCACCACTAGGTATCGGAATTGGTATTGGAGTGGCGGAGATTTACAACGAGAATAGCCCAATGGCCCTAAAAGTGTCGGGTTTTCTTAACGCTGCAGCTTCTGGAATCTTGATTTACATGGCGCTTGTTGATTTGGTAGCTCCACTTTTTATGAACCCCAAAGCTCAGAGTAGTATGAAGATACAAGTAGCTTGTAGCGTATCTCTTGTTCTTGGTGCTGGTTTGATGTCTCTTTTAGCTATTTGGGCTTGAACGTTTTAGTTTTTTTTTTTTTGAATTTTTTTTAGAACAGTGAAATAACTTTTCGATTTGGATTTTGATACTATGCCAAACCAGTCAATTCCATACAAGAATGCTATCAGTTCTTGATGACAATCTTTTAAAGAAATTATATGAGAAAGAGAATGTAAAAAAAAAAAAAAAAAAAACAAGCTAGGATGCCTCATGACAAGTAAACCCCTCCACAACCTGAAAACAGAGTAAGATATGAGATTTGGCAGCAGTTGAAACTTTGATGATTTTGTAATGAGTCAAATGACTTTCAACTTTGGCTCTTCACAAAAGCATAAATCAAGAGATCACATTCTTGTCAAAACGATCCGTTTTCAAATTATGGATATTCATGGAATAACCCCTTCAAATAGGATATGTCATTTTATCAGTTTTTATTCCAATTCTTCCACTTCCATAATCATTAGTCTACATTTTTATTATCTTGAGACCAGAAAAAGTCTAGATTATTTTCGTTTTTCAATTGAAAAATCATTTTAGTACTCAGCCGCATATGAAACCATGAATTTGGGATGTATAATACATATGAAAAGTAAAATGCTTCATTAGTAGAGACATGCGTTCGAACCTTGGTGGGAAAAAATAAAACATCCTTGAATGTGGCTTCATAATGAAGCAAAATAATGAGAGAACATGAGAAGCATCATCATCAAAAGGCAATACTTCAAAAAGAAAAAATGGATATGGATATCCATGGGAATAACCCATCAAAGCATCTTCCCCTTTTTCTTCAATCACTCAAATGTCAAAAAGGTCACCATTTTTATTAGAAATTATATATATACACTAAGCCATGAGTCCATAAATAACCAACCAACCTTCTCTATAAGCAAACCAAAAATCCAACAATGAAGGAGGAAGTTACTATAAGCGGAGCAGTAATAGGGCATCTTTCTATTGGCAGGAGACTCGGCTATTTGTATCTTTTGTGTTCTTGGCTATTGGCTATGTCACTTGCCAAAGGAGAGTTGCCCTGTCACTACTTCCGCTTAAACACAATATGAAACCAATTCCGCTAATTTCACTCCTACTTTTCGACATGTCCAAAGCCGAGATTGATAGATATATATCAGTAAGTTTTCATTTTGCACATTTTCCTTTTGATTTATGCTTTACATTTTTTTTAAAAAAAGCAAAACTTAAGAGTAAAAATACTTTTAACTAAAAAGAAAGAAACACAGTTGCATTTCTTGTTCTTCAGGTAAATTATCATAACTACAGAAATTTCCAGAGCATATAGTTTTGTAGTCTCTCTAGCTACAAAACTAGTAGGGTTCTTGTAATTTTAATTTTAATAGCATTCACTTTGTACATTGCATCTTTCACTTCAAATTTCCATTTCATCAACCATCTAAACTTCTTTTTATATAAGCAACAATCTAAAGTCCAAAATGTCTAAAGTCTAAAAACCATTGATCTTCTTAAAGAAAAGAAAACCAAAAATCAGTTTTAATGGATCTATTTTGTTCCTCCAATGCAGAAATTGTTTTCCAAGTAAATTTTCCATGAACTAGAATCATTCTCTTGAATTATCGTAGTAGATTGTTTATATACCAAGACGAATTCTGCGCTGCGCTATAAAAAGACACATCAATATACTTTCCTCAAGAAAGGTTACGAGTTATGAGACAATAAAGACGCACCATAACATAATCATCGCGAAGATAGTTAAAACGTCTGAACAATTGCAGAAAATGTTAACCGGTGAACTTCTCCGTTAAGGAAAGCAGAAGCTGAAGGAAAACGCCGCTAAACGTAACCTTCTCTTTAAGTTGGAATCTCTTTTAAAAGGCTTCGGCCTTATTTATAATCTTGTATCTTACTGGGCCTTTAGGCTTAAATTATTTAGAAAATATTCTATCCAACTGTATGGACGTCTCTCTTACATAAAAAGATTATGCAAACTTAACCATTTCAGAATTAAAAACAGAACAACGAATATATCCAAAATATTTGTAAGGAAAATAACAAAATGCATAATATCAGTATTAATGAACGAAATCTCCTAAGACCATGATTAACGGCAGTTGCTTAATGTTTTCTTAAGTAAATCTTAGCTATTAAATGATTATAATTAAATCTCAAACAAGCTTTAATGCTAATATCGTTTCTTAGGTAAGACACAAAAAAATAGTTAAGAACCATCGCGTGTCTGTGTTTCAGAGCAAATTTAATTTATTTTCTCCCTTCTCTCTTTCTTCTCTCTCTTTCTTTCGCGATTTCAAAGATGAATGGAAACTGAAGTCGATTTCAAGCAAATCGGAGGAACAGCCGACGTTATTTACCTCCGGCGATCGTTCCTGCTACAGATTATCATCCCCACCGACGCTGGTCGTCGAGGGCGTCAATAGCTTACCAAATTGGCGAATCGTGGCTTACGAAATCGGGGATAAATTCAACAGATCTTCGAGTTTCGATTCGAAATCGGTGACAATCGGTTTGTAAAGGTAGGAATGTCTCTCTGATTGTGTGAATTGATGTGATTTTCTGTTTTTAAAATTAGGGTTCCTCGAATTTGAGAAATTAGGGTTCGTCGAATTGGGGAAAAAGGGTAATTCGTTTTCTTTGTATAAAAAGAATTTTGTAAATCAGACTTGAAATCGTGATTCAGAATAAGCCATGATCATGCATTTTGGAATCTAGTTTGTAGATTGCAGTTAGAATTTTGTAACCATGCCTTCAAATTGTGCAATGTCATGGTTACAAAGTAATGCTGATAAACTTTAGTATAATGGTTATTTGATGAATTGTTAGACGTGCCGAGCTGGGAACTATATAAACTTTGATGTTATGGGAAATTATCTCGACTAGTTGACTGAATAGGACTTTCTCATGTCTTATGAATCTAAATGTTGGAAAACTCGAAAGTCCAATATAATGGGAAAGCATCTTGATCTTTTGTTGGTAAATTCTTGTGGTTTAGACTGATTTGCTTGGTGATGGACTATGAACCGTGTATTATGTGCACACTGCTTTTTGGATGAAGGGTTGTTTTTTTTTGCTGTTTTGTTTGGTGAAGTTTTAAATGAAATATTTTGCTTTTCAGTTATCTTATCCAGGATCATGTATCTAGTAGCACCATCTACACGGTCATCGCACTCTCGGCCCAGACTATCAATACGTTTAACATCTAGGACACGGAAAATGGCGAAAGCATACAATGGACAAGATGTTAATGGCACTGCTTGATTTCTCTGCATTTTTGACATGGCACTGCTTGATTTTTCTGCATTCTTGTTTTATTATTGATGTTGTCTTTCTCTGTCCAAGGAACTGGCTTGTGAGATTGAGTGCAGCCGCGGTGAGGATTATCGGTTAAACAAACTCACTATCATAGACTACAATGTATGAATTTCTCACTTACTTTGGTAACTTTTAACACTTAATTTCCAAACCCATGATATTGAATGTGTGTATGGATGCTTAGCAATAGGTCATTGTATTAATGCTTGTATGTGTTTGGTTGTATAAATGCTTGTAATGGAAGATATTGTTTTGCCAAAATTTGAATTTTTTTTCTTAAGAACCCATTGGTTCTTAACCTAGGTTGCATGGAATCAGAAGCGGGTACGCGGAAGCGAAGCGTTTGGAAACGTGGAAGCGATTTTTTTTAGAAATTTTAAGAAGTGGGTATGTGTTGGAAGCGTATATAAAAATTAATATATATATATATATATACATATATAATAAAACATTAAGCATTATATAATATTAAAACATATAATTAACCACGTAAATCTAATATATAAATTTTAAATACTTCAACTACAAATAAAAACCAAATAGTTTATTTTTACAATTCATAAAAATAAAATAGTTCAAAGTCAAAATTTTAGATCACTATCTTCACTCTCATTTTCTTAATTCCATCCAATAAAATAGTTTCAAATTCTATTTTATCGATAACACATCATCAAATTCAAGTTTCTCAAAGTTTATTTAAGTCAATTATTCATTCCAACATTTTCCAAATAAATAATTTATGTCGTGGTTATTTTGTTAAGCATGATCTTTTAAAAATAAAATAAAAAACTTAGTATGCAAAAATTTAAATTTTAAATTAGTTTTGGTTTCTTTTAATTGTAAAAAATACTATAAAAAAATAATTTCATGTTTCTTATTAATATTTGATTATCAAATTTTTTAAATGGAAACGTAAGCTTCTAAAATGGAATCGTAAGCTTCCAACGAGCTTCTAAAGTAAATTTTTTGGAAACGCTATGGAAACGAGATTCTAAAAGCTTCCAAAAGCTTCCGATTCCGACTAAGATTCCGAAGCGGGAAGCGGACCTTCGACGAAGCTTCCGTGCTTCCTAGTTCTTAACCATTGGAGGACATTTTTGTTAAGGTACTTTGTAACTTTTCTTAGCTTTCAAAAAGTAACATTTTAATTTTAAATAATGCTAAGACCCAAAGTTAAGAACCAACCAATAATGTTGCTTTAACAGTATCGAAAGGGCCACGCCATAAACAGTGTAAAAAAGTTGGCATCGACATCATCGTACAATGTATGTCAGTGCTTTGTCACGTGTCTTGCACTTTCGTTCATTACTGTTCCTAACTGATAATTATCTAATTTTATATTTTTCAAATCTTAATTGAAAAGTTTTATATTTTGTGTTGTATAATTTTTTTTTTGTTTTTTCATGTTCAAGGTTTTTTCGTAAATTATTGATTTCATAATTTAAAGTGTGTGAATTAATTTATTTTAATGTTTTTTATTTTAATAAATAAGATATGTAGAGCCTACAAAAATAGTAAAATGTGAAGACATGAATGTTGAGAACTCTTTAATTATATATATAGATTACTAAAACAAAATTTTCACTAACTTTTTGAATAAACCAAATTCTCTAATTATTTTTTTATTAAATCACAAAACCTTGAAAATAATATAACTCTATAAATTAACTCCCACTAATCCTACATGTATTATGTTAATCAACTAATCATGACGACATTGTTGTAAGTTCAAACCCAAAGAATTGTTTTATTACTATTGCTCACTGTACAGTCCATCGATGACTTTCCGAAATTTCCTATTTTAGCGGAGACTTTCCGAAATTCATATTTCTTTTTTTTTCATTTGTTAATTTTGCCAAAACAGGGTAAAGACTACAGAATATGTTTTATTTCGTAGACCATACGGCACAAGCCAAATGGATCCTCCTATATGCTTAATAAGTAGCTTTTTTTTGTTATATTTCGTACGGCTATTATTTTAAGGCAACATTTGAACCTGCCACGATTGTCTTTTCTCAATTATATAGTAAAAGGTTGAAATACTATCTATTAGATCTGGGCAAATAAGTCGAACCGAATGTATCGAACAGAAACGAAGCAAAAATAACCGAAAGTATCCAAAAATATCAGAAAATATTCAAAAATAACTGAAATATCCGAAAATATCCTAAGAAAAATGACCGAATGGATACTAAATTTTAAACCGAAAGAACCGAAACTGAACCGAAATTTTTAAATACCCGAATGGATACTAAATTTTAGAATCGAAATAACCGAAACCGAATGAATTTAACCGATAACCGAACGCCCGGACCTACTATCTATAATCGGTTCACAACTACAATAATTATGATCTTTACTCCCGTAGCGTGAAGGAGAAATATCTAATAAGTTACTTTTTTTAAAACTCTTTACTAACTTACCTTTTTTTTAAACTCTGTACTAACTTACTTAAACTGAGATGAAAATACTAGATGATATTAGTTTTACACAATGTTCAAGAAAGCGCTATGCGTTAAGCGGGCGGTGACTCAGTGTCTAGTGCTTATAACGCCTAATCGGAGCCTAGGGGGTTTAGACGTTTATAACATAAAATATTATAAATATGATATTATATATAAAAGTTATAGAAAATATCTATATAAAAGTAGAAAAATATGAAATCATAAACAAAAACTAGATAAAACATTTGTTTATATTTATATTAAACAATATATGAATATTTATAACTAAATATATAGAAATAAAACTTAATTGAAATTGAAAATACATTAAACAAGAAATTTTAGGCGGTCAAGAGGATCATCTAGGTGTCGCATGAGAGCATAACGCCTAGTCGGGATCTAGGCGACCGCCTATACCGCTTTTTAGAACACTGGACTTTTTTACAGTAATATATATTGGTATACACACATATAGATAGCAAGAAATATAATGCATTTGATAATATCAAGAGACTATTACTTCACATGGTTTCAAATTCAATAATCTGAAAATGTGATTTATGAATAGTTTGTTGATTAAATACATTTTTGTTGAGATGGGTACTGATGGTCTTTTGTAATACATTCTTAAGAACAAACATAATTTGGTCTTACCGATAGATGAGATTAGGATTCATAATCTCTGGATGTCAATCTCAGTTCAATCGAGATTTTGGTGTTCTTTTGTAACTTGTAAGAAGAATTTTGAAAGAACATATTAAAGATCAGGTTCTTGTTCCAAATGGAGAAAGCTTGGCAAACATACCTTGCAATATATAAAAGAAAACAAAAATGGTGAACCATATTTAAATTTATTGGTTGTAGTTTAAAAATGATTATAAAAAATATATATATATATATATATTTTATTATATATTTAGTATTTACAGATCGTACCAACATATCGTGTAACTTTGTTTCTTCAAATATATAAATTCGTTTTGTAAACATGGGAAGTTCATAAATGAAGAGTAGAAGTTAAAACAATGTTAATATTGATTTTTAAAAATATACAGTAATAGTAAAAGGTTATATGTAGTATACTATGTACCACTACCACCGGAGAATTATATTGTTCATTTTTGGCTGACAAAGATATCAATTATTACAACCAGGTTTGGTTGTTTTCCACAAAATAAAATAAAAACAAGAATTATCATGTTTCTTGTTTTGGCATCTAATTATCCTTTTGTATGTGGTGAAGAGAAGATATGGACACAAATTATAAATATTCTATTCATATTTTTGTTATCAAGAACAAAGATAAAAATAAGAATGGCATCATTTTATTGTGACCCATAACAAAAAGAAAAGTAATAAAACATTAAAGAAACTTGCCCCTTCCTTCTCTCACAGATCATTATTCTAGGGTTCCTGACAAAAAAAAACAAATACCTTTTTCTCTTTCCATTTTTGTAGATTTTTTTTTGTTTGTTAAAGAATTTTTGTAGAATTTCAACTCTTTCTTCTCCTCAATCTTTTCATTATGATATTTTCCTGATAAGTTCTTGATTTGAAAGTCACCCATTCTTCACTACTAGCTTAGATCAATTATTCAATTTTCTCTGCCGACATTCAATTACTCTCCCTTTCCGGTGAGTTCTCTCTCTTTTATGACTCTGGTTATGTTGACCGGTCACTGGCTGGTTTAGGGTTTCAATCTTTACAGATCTTGTGGCAGAAAAAAAAACAAGAAAAATGGTGAGAGGAAAGATAGAGATGAAGAAAATAGAAAACGCAACGAGTAGACAAGTGACTTTCTCAAAAAGAAGAAATGGTTTGTTGAAGAAAGCTTATGAGCTCTCAGTACTCTGTGATGCTCAAATCTCCCTTATCATCTTCTCACAAAGAGGAAGGCTTTACGAATTCTCTAGCTCTGAGTATGTCTTCTTCGATTTCTCCTTGATTCTTTTATTTCATTTTTCCTTTTACTTTTCTGTACTTTTCTTGGGTTAATTAGGCTTTTAGGTAATGTGTTTGTGTCTGGTCGTCTGATTTATTTTCGGAATCGTAATTGACTAAAGCAACCTTCTTAGATTTTGGTACTTATTGAGCGATTCGATCCGTGTCTGGGTCCGAAAGATTTCTTTCTTCTCTTCCCCTATTATATATATAATTTCATTTTTATATGTTTATAATATTCATTTGGTTAGAAATCTAGACAAACTTTCTTTTCATTTTCTGATCTACCTGATGAACTTTTCATCCAAAATAAATGATGTGTGTATATATCTATATATTTATGTGTGTGTGTGTGTGTGTCTAGGGTTTCCAAATTCTTGAAAGCATGAACAGAAAACAACATCGGAACCAGCTCTAAATGGGATTTCTTATATAATTTGATGATTATTTATTTGTGATCCGTATCAAGTCGCGCATATCTTTACCCATTTATTTGGTGATAATATAAAAAAAAATGTCCTACTTTTTCTTGCCCCTAGTTAATTAGGTTGTGTACTATCGTTTTTGGTTTTCGTAATGTCTTTATTTGGGCTCTACTTTTGTGGCCATAGTAATAATCCTTGCTCTTCCTGACTTCCTCGTTTGATTTAGGTGTGCAGTGCATACATAGTTTCCTGTCTATATATGTTATATATACATAGTTTCCTGTCTATATATGTTATATGCCTGTATATAGACTTGTGACTTGTGAGTACTACTTAATTATATATTCAAGAAACAGCTAGCTAATCTCGGAATTTAATAAAACGCATCCCATTTAAATTTACATCTTTAAGTTTCTGCTATAATCAGTGTTAGATCCAAGTAGCTAAAGTTGTGATTTGTTTTTTCTCTATACTAATATATATACTAATATATATATATATATATATATATATATGTATTGTTGATTAGAGTTTTTCAAATGGGTTAATGGTTCTAGATTCAATTATTTGATGTTGAGCAAATTAAATAAAATTGCAAAAAAAAAAATGGAATACAATAAACAGACAAATAGGGCATGGGTTTAAATAGTCACCTAGCTATAGATATATTAACCAACAGCAAAAAGATATTGTAGTACAATCTAAGAGACATACTAATACGGTCAAATAAATTTTCATATCTCGTTGCTATAAGAGATGTACGTTTTATTTCGAATATAATAGAGCTAATTCGAGATAAAACATAGAAATTACGAAGAAGTAAGTACATTAGTTCATATTTCTGAAAAGATATGTCTATGTTTGATCATCAGTATGCAGAAGATGATCGAACGCTACCGCAAGTACACAAAAGGACATGAAACCAGCAATCACGACTCACAAATTTACTTACAGGTTTGTTATCAAACTCAAAAAAAAAAAAAAAAAAAATCTTGATGACTTTTACGTGATTTCTGTGCTATTGATTCTTTGACTTTTCATGGCCAATAAAACCAAATCTTATGAGAATCAATTACTACATTACAAAACAATTGATGGATCGATGGTCACAAAGATTGCTCATCAGTTTATATTGGCCAATATATACAAAGATTACATACTGATTTTATTTTACTTCTTTTGCGTCCTATGATTTTATTTTGTGGCGGAGTAATGTAGGAATTAAAACAAGAAGCAAGCCACATGATAGCAAAGATTGACCACCTTGAGTTTCAAAAGCGGTATAATGTCTTAAGACTTTTTGTTTTTCTTTTCTTTTCGTTGCTATTTCTCCTAGATCACAATGTATGGTTATTATTTCTTTGCATTTTACGTTATTTGTTTTCGTTTTACATAAACCCATGTAAGCTTAGCTAGACTTTTTAACCAAACTTTCTTTATTAGTTATATAGTAGACCCATAACCTTAGACTTCATTAATAATAAACCATTTTTTTAATATATAAATAGACTTTTTGACGTCTTTGTTACATTTTAAGAAACTATTTTTTCATGAAAACAAATTTTTAGATTTAAAATTCCTTTGATTTTTGCCATGTGTAAAGGTATATATATAACACAATCAAAGACCAAACTATAGTAACATCATTTATGTATTTGTTAGTTATTTCTTCTTGAATTATTCGATTTTATTTTATTAAGAACTCAATATATTTGAGTATTGTACTAGCTTGTATTAATATAGGATTTTCTATTTCTGGTAGCATGTTTTACAATTAGTCTATATTTACTCAAGAAATCTAATTACATATCTATATAATACTTAATATTTACTCTGTGCATGATAAACTCCGCAGTGATGGATGATGACTCTAATTAAAAATCTATCTTTCATCTCAAATAGGAGAACTATCTTGGAGATTTACAAAATTAGTCATGAATTTTTTTTTCGTGTGTATAGGAAGCTACTGGGACAAGAAATTGCTTTTTGTTCTCTAAAAGAGCTTCAAGAAATTGATAGTCAACTCCAAAAAAGTCTGGGCAAGGTCCGAGAAAGAAAGGTATATTTATTCTTCATCACTATCTTGGTATATAATGATAACATCTATAATGTATATATACAATACATGTTGACTTGAATAATCTCCATCTAATCATCTAGGTATAGTCCTCATTTAGATATGAACTTAAACCCGAATCTTTGCAATGATTTAGCGGCATATCTCAATCAATATACTAACATTGATCAAGACACATGTGCACTTTATATATTAGTGTTGTTATCATACAAAGTTTAAAAAGTTGGACAAAATGTTTTATAGGCTCAGTTGTTCAAGGAGCAGGTGGAGAAACTAAGAGCAAAGGTTTGATACATTATGTTATAATATATATTTACATGCAATTTTTTAACTAGCTTTTGTATATGAAATTGGTGAGAGAGTGTTGGTTTTGTTTCAGGAGAAACAATTGTTAGAAGAGAACGTCAAGTTACATCGAAAGGTGATTCATCTCTCTTAACATTTCACATATTTTGATATATACCTATTCACATATTTAGAATTATATATTGATACTAGTTCAACTGAAATTTACATATGTGTGTTATGAATTGCTAATGCTTTAATATGCGGAAAATATTACCAAAAAGACCTCTAACTGTTTTCTTCGGGTTGATAGGTTTTTTCTTTTTTCGCCTTCTGTTGATAGTTTAAATTCAAGATTTTTTACATTGTTAGAAACCATACGGTGCTGCTCGGTAAAATTTAGTTCTAGTTCAAGTTGTAATTTTGTGATAAAGTATAAGATTAGTTTTAACTTTTAAGGATTTCAAAGACAAGTTAGGTTTAAGTTTTGACCTTTTCACTTGCTTTTGTTTATAACTTTTGGAATGTAAACACTGAAAACAGTACAATTTGGATATCATTTTATCGTTTTTCTAGAGAGAAAATTATTTATGATATGTTTTGTGGTTGATGAAATTGCAATCTATGAACAGAATGTTATAGAACCATGGAGAGGATCGAGTGATCGGCAGCAAGAGAAATACAAAGTTATAGATCTGAATTTGGAAGTTGAAACGGATTTATTCATCGGTTTGCCAAATAGAAACTGTTAGTAACATTATATTATGTTTATTTACTTATCATGAAATATTATTCAAAATCATTCAATAAAGTGTGAGGTAATGATTTGGGATAGTATTTTTTGAGTTGTTATAATTCTAGTCCTTATTTATACGATTAAAGAGAGTAATAAGAAATATATATAATATTATTTTTAAAATTGCATTAAACACATGAAAACAAGAATTTAAGGTCAAAGTTATGATTTTTATATAAATTATGAATATAAGTAGGACGTTTTGAATTTTAGATAAAAAAAAAAAATTGGGCTAGACGCCGTCTAGGCGGACAAAAATCGGATCACCTATTTTTTTTTTTACCGATTTAGACAAAATCGCCGCAGTCCCCACCGATGAGCGCATACGCGGCTACATACACAGCGTATAGCCCAATTTTTTTACACTATTCAATTTTTTTACATATCATATAATGTCTTACACTATTCACACTGTATTTATTTTATTTTTTTTAAGTGACTGCATTCCAAGTAGAATTATATGATATGTAAAATGATGACTGGACATTTTTTTTTTTTAAGACAAAAGAATGTCCAGTCAAGGATCTATTTGCAGCATAAACTAAACCTACCAAGTTATGGGCTCCAAGCGGCCCAATAAGGATCCAATGGACTACATTAATATAGAGCCCAACCACCCACCGTCTTTGACTCTTTGTTGCAGCTACTCCTTTGCATGTGTATATTTTAATCAGATACACATATATAGAGGTTATATTACTAATTACTTGATATGATTATATCAATACTCTAATGTATAGGAGTTAAATGCATCAGCTCACGGTTAGCTGCTTAATTCTGCCGTATTTGAATTTTGAAATTCACTAACTTCGACCGTTGCTTTTGTAAGTTAATTTTATTCATTAAATACAATTATAATTAAGTATGGAGAACATATATCACCTATTGTAACCATGAGTTTCAGGGAAAATAATCCTCTGAGAATCTTTCGAATCTCGTATTTTACAGCTATCCTCTATGTAATTCCTTTTTTTCTTTTTCAGTACTACCTTCAAGACAAAAAATCTATCGATTATAAAATTATATAATCTACTCATGTTATACTTCTAGTTCGAGGTTGATAAAATTACTTGTGTATTTTTTTTGGGTCAAAATTTACTTCTATATTATACTATCGAAATATTTAATAATTACATTATCGTACACGTACATAGGTTAGAGGAGCCATGCATATGGCTGATTCGTTTTATAGTCTTTCTAAGACTTTACATAGTATGCTTTCTAACTTTACACTTTTTCCTGATTTTCTGTAAATCCTTTTCGGTTTTCTGTTGGACTATTGTAACCCAACATGTAATAGGCACTTGCAATTTTTAAAAACAAATATAAAAATAAAAGAAGAAGAGTAAATTGGAACCAAAGGTAAATTATTCTCTTTTCTTAAAAGGGTCGCCCAACTGTGTTTCCCTTACATTTTTTTTTTCCCTTACATTTTAACTTATTGTAAATTCATCTTAATCTTTTTTCCATAAATTCATTGTAGTTTTACTAATAGAATTAGAATTGCTAGTTTGTTACGGGCCATGATTTCAGTTTTAGCCAATTTATGGTTGAGCATTCTTTCGAATAAAGGAAGAATGTCTTTCTCTTCTAGTTATACGCACATTATACTTAAACATTATCATGTTGAAATATGTGTAGTATCGAAACTAATTAGCTTTAAAAATCTCAATGTCTAAATCATCAATTTCATATATTGTGTATAATATATACTCCTTAGGAAAACATTTCTTCACTTTTTTTTTTCATTTAACTTTGTCCAAGGATACCGTACGCTCAAAGAGTACTCTCGGACAAATTTACACTATACATTTTAGAAAATAATATGCATACTCCCAAAAGTGGACTGTACATATTTTCGGTTAATTATTTAATATAACTCGACTATGTTCATAGATTTACCAACAAAACATTTAATTCCAACAAACTGGGTAGTCAATTAATATTTGCTAGAAAAAGATGCAAAGAGATTAACTAGTTTATACTATGAAACATCATTTAATAGATTTTGGTCAACCTTTACCAACATCGTGATATCATATAGTAACGATCGATTAGTAAAAAAATTAAGATGAAATTATTAAAAAACCTAAGCCCATGTGACTGCGCTCTGATCTTTATTTTTTTGCTGCTTATTTTGAATTTCCCGCTCAACGGTCGACAGATTAGTTGGACACCTAGGCTACGACAAATATAATATGATCATAAGATAACATCTATACACTCGCATACAACAAAACACACACATATATATATATATATATATATATATATATATATATAAAGACATTTAAATGTGGAAATCTGATGATACTCCAGTGCATGTAAATTTTTAGATATTCCAGCTAGCATGTTATAAGTTAAGAGTCATCCATATTGATCATGTTTGCTGTACAAAAATATCTATCTTTTATCTAACATAGTGAATTAGAATTTATTTCTTAAATGTATATTTCAGAACTTCATTAAAGTAATAAACGATCAAAATGTTTGAATTGTATGGTTTTATCTATCTTTTCTAATTATTTTTAGTTAGGTATAATGAGATTTCAATGCTGAAATGTTTGTTTGATAGTGTAATTTTTTTTTTTTTTTTTGTGATAGCTAAAATTAAGTGTCTTAGGAATCCTAGCTATAATGATTAAGTTTGTACATCCGGTGAAAGTAGATTTACAATCTCGGCCACCTTAAGTCCGTAACCAAACACAAAAGAAAACAATTTCTTTGCCATGCAATAAATTTTAACATACTAATACTCTATAAGAGCATGTGTAGTGGGAGTCTCTCACCCAAATTTCTCATGAAAAAAAAAACAATAAAATAATAATAATTATTATTTTATTATGAAAGTCTCTCAAAAATGTAGAGAAAGTCTCTCAAAATCTCTCACTTGAGAGATTTTCACCACTTTTTTGAAAAACTTTCATAATTATATAATACTTTTTATTATTTTATTATTTTTATTTTGTTTGAAAGACTTTTGTGAAAGATCCCATTGCACATGCTCTAATATATGAATTCTAATTGCATGAATGGTGTCTTCATTACGACAGATGTGGCTTTAATCTTCACGTAAATGTCTCGGGTCCATGCAAAATCTATCTTTCGTATTGTCTTTTTACTACTTTACAAGGTTCTCTTCACCTTTTCACATTTATCTTTTTTTATCTTTCTTAAAAACAGATATTTATATCTGTAAGAAATATTCTTCTCTTACACTCCTTTGCTGTAATTATTTGGACAATCGTCAGAATTATTTAAGCTCTCTGAGATGCACAAACTCTCATAATAGTCTCATGACATGATAATAAGAACAAAGATACATAAGATTCCTCTCGAAATTTACGTACGTTTTTTGTACCCATCGTCAACGTCATAATCGTCGTCAAAGGTTTTTGAAAACTTGTTGCTTCATGGATTTACGTCATAATCGTCGTCAAAGGTTTTTGAAAACTTGTTGCTTCATGGATTTATGTTAAATTTATAATTCTATATTTTTTTTTATTTCTTAATCTTTTCAATATGTTTGAAAAACTAAGAGGTCGGTAAAAGTTCACATAGTAGTCCATAGATAAACAAACTTAATCAAAACATAAATGAATTGTCTATATATAATAGGAAAGCAGTTAATAGGCCATTATTCGTTACACTAAAAATGTTATCAATCAATTGACCAAGAGGTTTCAATAACTAGTGTTTTGTTTTTTCTTTTACTATAAAAATTGAGATAATTTTGTCACATCACCGTAACTATAATGTCACGTACATTTGTTTTAGAGTGAATAATTCTGTCTGCAAAAGTGTGATGTGTGTCACATCGTCAGAGAGCTTGAAACCTTTAACTGCTGTTTGTGACAAATGTTGTGGGACTAATAGGGTAGATTGGCAATTTCCAAACCGGTAATTATAGCTCTCTGAATAATTTTTTTTTTTTTTTTTTTTATGTTATGCTTGACTGTTTCATTTATATATTTTGCGAAATTAAAGTGAGTGGTTTTATTGGATGGTTTTTTATAAAGCTTGGATGCTATTGTCCAAAATAGTTTCCTTTCTTTGTTTGTAAGTTGGTCGTATGACATATTACACATAATGAACCTAATTATATGCAATACCCAAAGCACATAAGACCATATATGTATAACACTCAGGCCTCAGCACATTCTTCATAAACCCCTTTATGTATAAAGTACATTGACGTAATTCATAAACACTCAATATTTAGAAGATATAATTCAAACTCATGTAAAAAAAAAAAATACGAGTTCAAATGTTCACAAAGACATGGCTAATATATGTGGCAAAAGTAAACAAAACAAAATTCAAACAAACAAAATGTTTTGGGCCCAAAATTATTTTCTTCTCCTACGATCCCTAAAATAGTATATGCTTCTCTAATTTCCGTCATTCCGTGTATAGTATTCAAACCTATACGACCATATCCGAATCTAGCTACGAAATCAAATATTTCAAATATTTCTGATAGACCCCATTCCCCATAATTGATATTGACTATGATTCAAATGTCATCAAATGCGTGAAAGAAACTTCTATTGACACATCTATATTTTTTTCTTTTCTTTTAAACTCTTATTGACACATCTTTTATCTTCAAGTTTTCGTAACAAAGAAACAAAACATAGCCAACAATATAAAATCAAAATACTCAAAAACTCATGAATACTATTCTTTAGTCTACATAGCATATGCAAAACCCATGGGATGTTGGAATACACGGGGGACAAAAACATCTGAAATTGACAGATCTATCTTTCTAACATAAAGCTCCACTTCGGTCCACACTCTACAATTTCAAAAATTTTATTTTATTTATTTATAACGGCTACAAAGTATTTGAAAATTAATATAATCTAAAAAAAAAAAAAAGATATCTCTATACAAAGAAGAACCAGTAAATGTCTGCCATGTGGAATTCTTTTATCCACGTGGAAGCCTTAATCTCAAAGAGGACGAGTCGTGGTGGGACCCCACATTTGAAGAGTATCTCGTCACGTGAACACCCCACGTGCCACTGACATCA